TTTTAATTTAAAGATCACGTCTTACAGAACATATCACTTAATACAAGATAGACTCTAATCATAACGGTACTTTGTGCTGCTACAAAATTCACAAATCTCGAGGTCTTACCTCCTGTAAACAACTCTACAAAGAGTTCATATTCATGGAACAGACAAAACATCTTATTCTAACCCCAAAGAAAGAGAATTCATAGAACATACACAAAAAAGCTTTCTTATCCCAAAACAGCTAATCTAATATTCTTTGTAAAAAACTATTACGCTGACAAAAAAATTCAAAAAGCATTAATAAGCCTAACAATGGTAAACTATTCATAGAGAATCAAAATTGTAAACTATTCTTAGAGGGCCAAACAAACGAACAACAACTTAACTATCAGACAAAAAAAATCCCCTAACAATGGCTCCAAATTTCTTATGCTGGTCAACGAACAAGTCTACCTTCGCTATGGTCTTCATATGGCAAATTCACCCTTATGTTGGCAACCAAAAAACAAGCATACTGTTGCTATTAGGTTGTTCAAATAATTCTGTACTCTTTCTCAAAGCAAATTTTCGAAGTTATTGAGCACAGGATTATTTTTTTAAAAACCTAATAGCGACAATATACATGTTGTATAGTTGCCAAAAAAAAAGATAAATTTACTGTTAATACAACGATCATAAAAAAAACTTATCTAATACACCACGCCCAAGTAAAAAATTTACCTTTTATACGATGGCAACAAAACAAATTTGCCTTATTCATAATGTCCATAGAGCAATACCTTCCTCATAACAGTCCCTGCCCTTTCCTCTAATAATAGCCCTAGCCCCCTCCGCCAATAATAACCGTAGCCTCCCCATCTAATAATAGTCCTAACACCCTCGCTTTCATGATTTTTGGTTGTTAACATCAAAAACAAGCTTGTTTTGAATAAAAATCATCCTGAACTTTAACAAAGCGCAAAATTTCAAAACTTTTGAATTTAAATTAGCATGCTACTTAAATACGAACGCATCACAAAAACAACTGACAAAATATGAAAGACCAGAACCTTTGTTCAACACTATGTTTGGCAACATTTTTACCGAGTAAATAGACATGTCAAACATCAGGTTTCAGTAGAAGGAAAGATGTTACATTGAAGATGACAAAAATAGCACAGCTATTGCTAATAAACTAGTAAATCAAAATCTAATTTTGAAGAAAAAAAGCAAAATTTGGCCTAAGCCAGTTTGTTCCCTGTCAAGCTAAAATCTTTTTTAACTTTTACCACCCCCCACCACTAGAAACAATCTTTAGCGACCTCCCTGTCTTACCTACCCCAATATAATATACAGAAGAAAAGAGTAATATAGTTAAAAATTCAAAAAACCTAATCCTAGTACAATTCATTAACCACCACCCTCAACACGTTGAACAGCTATTATCATCGTTTCATCAAAGTCAACCCTCTATATATTCATGTTTCCTGTTTACCACGATTAAAATGTAGATACTGCTGAATCTCTGATGCTTTGTATATTGACTCACAGACTAATTGAATATAAACTCACAGCCTATTTAAATATGAAAGTTGGCTTTTAAAAATGCTTTCACTACGTCAGAGGTCAAGCAAGCCTTGCAGCAACCCTTGACTTTTTGTACAACTTATATGTTAATCGATGTTTTAGTCACGCAGAATTATGCAAATCAAGCCTTTATCTATTTCGATTCATGTTAATCAAAGGTTTTGATTTTTTACGTCATGTAAAACAAGTTTTTGATTTTTTTAGTATGTTAATGAAGGTTATAGTTACACAGGATCTATGCAAATTTAATGCAAATAGATTCTTGTTTTATGAACTAGGCGGAGGTCGTTTACATAAAGTTTTGAAACCGCTGTCAACATTTCAAACGGAGATGAACAGATCACAAGGTAGAAAATATTTACAGTAACCGACTCAATACGTTGAGAAATAGAACAACATTACAATATTACTATCAAAAGAACATCCAACAGACTGTAAGCCAAATACAAAAAAATCAGTGAGAACCTTACCTCCCTGGTCAAGACATCCTCACTCCCTGCCAAAACATCCTCAACTCCCTCCCCGAAGTCAAGAAAAATCAAATAACCTCCCCAAAACCAAGAAAAATTCTAAAGTCCAATAACAATCCCCTAATCCTGTATAAAACCCCCATCATACACTACCCTAGCCGAAGCCCAATATAAAAAATCCAGCACGCTCCCCTAACCAACTGCAATATGACAAAACTCAACCATGCTATAAGTCAAGTGTCATAGAGGGTTGGTTCTATTTTGTGTTGCTCGTATGCAAATTAGTTTCGTCAACGTGTATTTTGTAAATTTATTCATCGAACGGAAAACAGCGAAACCATAGATCGCAAACCTAAGTTGACACATCGCTTCGCTTGTGGATTTTCGCACGTATTTGAAGTCGTATTTGAGAAAACTGAGGTCAAAGAGTTACGTTTAGAAATAATAAAGCTATGAGCACCTATACAAAAAAGAGTTACAAGAGAGTTTCACAAGATACAGTAGAACTCCTGTATAACAAACCCCTCTATAACGAAACTCATATATAACGAATAACTTTTGAATCCCCGTCTATTATTACACAGTGCATTTACAAATCCTGTATACAATTATATTGTCATCAAGAAACAAGACTTGTTTTTGAAAATATCTCTGTTTTTTCTAGTGTTGGTAGGCTTACAGTACACTCAATAAACAAAGGTATTATTGTAGGAATATAAAATACAAAAACTTTACTACATCCTTTCACAATACTGCACATACATTGACTTTATCCTTAAAGAACTTCCTGTCAAAAATTGCCTTTCTTTGAATTACCGTTTCATATAATTGTAACGTGACAATTCACAATATATTATTGTATATTACAATATAAAATTGTATGTAAACATGTGTTATCTTTAAATATGATTTCTATTGTCATTTTGTAGCCAGATCATGTATAAATTAACAATTTGTACATTTGTTATTGTAGTTGTAACAATTTTTTTATTTTTGTTATCTTCGTCTTGTTTATACGTGTTTTTCACTATTTTAAAATTGTAAATAAAGTTTTGTAGCTTTGCCACATGTTTTTTAACTATAAATCTGTAGAACAAAAGCCCATATCTCAAAAAAAATACCATCCCCTAGGCTTCAAGTAGACATAGCTCCCTAGCCAAGCGTAAACAAAGCTCAAGCCCAAGGACGTAGCTAGCGGCGGGCAAATGGGGTAGATCTAATCCCCAGAGCTAAATCAAAAAAAAATAGGAAAAACAGCCCCCCCCTCCCAAAATCTGTCGCGCCGCCCTGCTCAAGCACTATCGAAAAGCCATTCCTAACCTCCAACCTTTCTTCAAACAGCCCTAGTTATGGTACTGTATTACTGTTACATTATCACACAGTGTTTGCCTTTTTTAAATTTACACTTCTTTTTATTTACATATGATTAAATTCCGGATATTCACATCCTTGTTTCAAGACCAGAGTATAAATATCACAACAACTATAGTGAATATCAACCCACGATTCCCACCGCAAATGCGCAAATATGGTAACATGCACCGATTTACGTGTCAATATTTGGGTACAGTGTACCGCGTGTGAAAATGTATTTCAACCGTATAAATTGAGTATTTTGACCATATTAGATTGTGTACTTCAACCATATTAAATAGTGTTTTTTAATTTTGAGTACAAAGTACTTGTCTTTGTGCAGAAACATTCTAAAAATGAGGATACAGAAGCATTTTCAGCCCAAGCTTGCTAAGCCTGAGCTTACTAAGTCTAAGCTTTTTCAGCATAAGTATACAAAGCCTAAAGCTTCTAACAAGGGAATGTTACAAACTGCCCATTCGATTTTTGAAAGTGAATGGTACTATGTGAAAAAGCGTAAAAAGTTGACTAGAAATCTATTTTCAAAAACTGCTAATTTTGCCTTACAAGCCCGCTAGCGAGATTTTAAAATCATTAGTGAAAGGGCCTTATAAGTTGTTATTCTTTCTTTTGGATTATTGTATTTTTAAAAACCTTAGTTTTTACTTTTTTTATATTTTATTAGATGTAAGAAGTCATTATCAACAAAAAAAATTTTTTTGACTATTTAAGTTAATTAACTTTCAAATAAAAAAGAATACCGATCATTTACCAAAAAAGAGAATCGAACCTAAGGTCCATTGATTGCGCAATCACGGCGCCTTTGACCACTCGGCCATTCGAACACATTTACTTCTCTTTTTTGAAAGAAGCCAAAAGAAAGCGGGTTTAAAAAATCCGTTTTGATAGTAAAAATTTTAAAAGCTCGCTAGCGGGTTTGTAAAGCAAAATTAGCAGTTTTTGAAAATAGATTTTTAGTCAACTTTTTACGCTCTTTCACATGGTACCATTCATTTTTAAAAATCCAATGGGCAGTTTGTAACATTCCCTTGTAAGCCTAAGACTTCTAGGCCAAACCCTGCCCAGCGTAAGCCAGATAAGCCTAAGCATGCTAATCCTAAGTCTATTAAGTCCAAGCTCACCAAGCATAAGCTTGATAAGCCAAAGCATATTAAGCTTAAGCTTTTTTAAGTTTGTTGTGGTATATTTGAATATAAAGTGTTGTGACAATCACATACACGAATATTTAAAAATCTTGATACTTGTGTTGTACTTCTTGTAATACAAATATTTTAGAATCTTGGTACTACATATTGTATTATATTTGTTTGTATTTGTCTTTTGTTGTCTTTTTTAATGTATCTCGTGTCGGGGCTTCAAAGACAGTCATAGCCATGATTGTGTGCATGTTTCCATATCACAAAATCATTGCTTAAAATTTTTTTTCAAAAAATTTTAAAATTTCAAAAAAAACATTAAAAAATTTTGTATTTTTCATTAGTAAAACCTCTAAAAACCCTTGATTTTTTTTTAATTTCAAAACCATTCAAGGCTCATTTTTTTCAAATTCCAAAAAAATCCTTCCAGAACCCACTTTTCTTTCAAAAAATTTCGAATTTTCTTTCAAAATTCCCTCATAAATTTTAATATTCGATTGTAACCCACCTCGATGGGCGCTTCCTCGGCAAACATATCAAAGGTGTCGGCTTTCTTCGCTTCCTGCTGCTTCTCATGTTCGACGCGTTTGCGTTCCTCTTCGGCCGAAACGCGCTCTTGCTGTTGTTGGATGAGTTTCTCGAGGTGTTCGTTTCGACTTCCCTCTAGGCTATCGCCGTTGGCGTCGTGCTGAAAGATTGGGACATTATCAAACATATTTTTGTAAAAAATTTTCAAAATTGAAAAAAAAATCATTTTTTCAAAATTTTTAAAAATATTTCACCACCCCCTCCCCCCCCCCTGCCAAAAAAAAATTACCACCCCAGCAAAAAAATTCCAAAAACTTTTAAAAAATCCGTTCCTTCAAAACTTAAAAAAATTTTTTTCCACCCCTCCCCTCTAAAAAAACCACCACACAATAAAAATTTTAAACTCTAAACTTTAATTACTTCCTATTGTTACATTTAAAAAAAACAAGGAAATAAAACAAAATTGATCAAAGTAAGAGCACAAACACAACGTCAAACCTTTGAACACCTCCGTTTTTTTTTAATATTGTTGTATAACCTATACGTTTAGGTAAACAGTTCATTTTACAAAATTTTTCCAAAAAATCTGTAAGTAAATTGAAAAAAAAGACAAGGCAACAACTTTTACATTATGACGTCGTTTTGATCTTATGAATTTCATGTTTTTCAAAGAAAAATACGAAAATATCTATAAAAATTTTGAAGAATTCAAAAAATATCTAAAAATTTTTTAAAAATTGCAACAAGCTTAAAAATTTAGTCATAATGACGACCTTTTTTAATATTTTTTACTTCTGTAAAGAATATATTGCCATTTTTAATTAAAAAATTATTTATCAGCTGCGCAGGCTGCAAGTGACAAGTTATACAATGAAAAGAAGTTTTTGTTTTGTAAAAAAAGTTCTTGCCATTTTTAGTGTTGTAAAGTAAGTTCTTGCCATTTTTTGTTTTGTAAACAAAGTTCTTGACATTTCTGGTTTTGTAAAGAAATTTCTTGCCATTTTTTAGTTTTTAAAAAAGTTCTTGCCATTTTTTTATACAAAGACAGTTCTTGCCAATTAAATGCGAAAAAAGTCACAACTTACAATCTTAACTTTGACATTGATATGTTTTTCATTCAAATCATTCAAAAAGTCTGATGGACTATCAGTAACCCTCTCATTGCAATATGAAGGTGAAGAAGCTGCAGTACGATCGTCCGAAGTCTCGGATCTTGCTGGAGAGTCATCGTTTCTGTAGCCGGCCTTCAAAACATCTCTGGCTTCATCAATCAGACGATCAGCTTCGTCTTCTGAAGATGAGGAAGAGTCTGACGATGAATCTGATGAAATTTGTTCTCCAGCTTCCTTTAGTGACTTTTGGCTAGACTTGTCATCATTCTGGACCTCGTTCTCCTTCTTTGACAACTCTTCCATCAGCTTCTGACGTCGTTTTCTGGCTTCTTCTATCCTTCTAGCTTCCACGTCTTCTTCATCTGAATCTAGATTGATGTCTTCGATTGCAGCATCTTGTTCTGCTTTCTTTGCTAGTTTTTCAGCCTTCTTTTGCTCCTAAAATTGGAAAAAGTTAATTCAATGACAAAAACGTATGTGAATATAAGAAAAATGGCCCAAAACATCAAAATTTGAGTAAAATCCTCACCTTTCTCTTCTTCTTTTCCGCCTTTCGCTCTCTCCTTTCAGCTGACGTCTCGTCTCTTCGTTTTCTCTTATGTTTTCTTTCACTTTTGCCATCTTTTCGTCGTCGATCATCATCTCTACGGCTTTTCCTCTCCAAACTTCGTTTTCGAGAATCTCGACGATCCTTCCTATCTCTAACATCTTTAACAGCATCTCTTCTTCTATCTCTTGATCCACCTCGCCTTCTATCAGATTCTGAATCCCGTCTCCTGTCCATATCTTTAGATGAATCTCGTTTTCGATCGCCATCTGGTCTTCTTTCGTCATGATGTCGACTTCTATGACAATCTTTGGAACGACTTCTGACTGATCGTGACGGACTGTAACCCATGTTCAAATGTTTCCTTCTAAAATACTATTTTAGTAATAGAATTAAGACTAACTCAACGCAAAAAACCCTTCTTCACTATCCCAAAGCAGAAACCTAAACATCAAATATTAAGAAATCAAAAAAACTTACAATTTCTTAAGTTATCAACCAACTTCCTTGAAGTATGCTCCACGAAAACTGATGTATGGCGAGAAATCAACGATCCTTTCACCAAATTCAACCTCAAAACAATGTGAAAAAGGTTCAGCCGACACTGTAATTAAATTTTGAATATGTGAGCACAATAAAAGCAGTGACTTACTGCTACCAAACCCAAAGGACAAGCCAAAACGTGTTCAACTGGCTGAAATTCACAGATTATACCTTAAAATCGTTAAAACATAAAATAAAATTACTTTACAATATAATCTGTAATATAAATGCTGTTATTTACAACAGCAATAAGCCAGTAAATCGTATTTTAGACCTTTAAACTTGGTATTGCAAAATATTTTCAACAAAATTCTGTAAAATAACAAAATGAAAAGGGTTGACGCAAGTATAACTTTGTGTCAAGTCTGCCGCTTTACCTTATTTTTGCGATTTTTCTTGTTAAATCTAGTCGTTTCACTCTCCATGAGCGAAGAACCCGGCACTTCTGTAGCAACACGCGAACTTGAAGACCCAGAAGTTCAAGATCAAGCTCCAGACCCTGTGGGAACCGGTGTGAACGTTTTTGTGAAGGCATTCTTTGACGCTTTCTTCGAATTTGTACTAGCTTTGTTAACAATCTACTTTTTCGGTGAAAAGAATGAGCGCCAACCAAATTTTCGGTGTTATCGTCGCCGGTCGATTGGTAAGCTTACTTTGATCTATAAGTTTGGTCGTCTTGGCTTAACTTTTCTAATTTAAAGGGCGGTATATTAAGTATGTTATTGATGGTATTGATTATGTTTGTTTTCAGATCCAAACCGACTTCGTTCAGGCTGGTGAAACGGAATTTGTTTGTGAGATTCCGAATGCTGATGCTATAAATCATCTGGTGGTATTCTTGACGGGCGTTCAGCCATTTCCAGATGGCATGGGAGGATCAGGTATGGGTGTTTGTTTTTTCTTTATTTTTAGGTAAAAACGGATGAATTAGGACAAAATTAAATACCAGAATGATCTTTAGAAAGTTTTCAAAGTTATTTTTGTAGCGTAAAAGTCTGTCTAGCTTTTATAAGGCCAGAATTTGGCGTTAATGATATTGTTATAGCCTTGTAAAACATTATTTTATAGTTTTGTATGCTTGGGGCTGAAGAGCGTTCATTCAGCTTTTATTTTGGTATTATTGTGATTTTAAAACGTTATTTACATATATATTACTCTATTCATACGTTCAATACGTTATATTAACGAAAACCCTTATTTTTAGTGTTCATCCGCTGGCCACAAGATTCAGGCGAAGTCAACTGGCATTATCTTGGGTTTATAGCGAACGAGAAGCCTAGTGCAATATTTAAAGTAGCTCAACTACACAAGGCTACGTCTGATCATAGTGCCGACTTGTTTTCCAATCATGGTCCGGGTCAAGGGGTTGTAGGTAGTGCTTTAATTGGTGTTATGGTCGAACCGCTAAGGCAAATCGAAGAAAAAGTGGCTGCTGAAGGAACTTCTACTACTCAACAGGTGAGCTTTAGGGGTTGGAAGGTTGTAGATTTTGTATAATATTGGTTTTTTGTTTGAGACATATATAACAATATCAATTTTTTGCTCTTAGCCAATATTACTTTAGATAAAAGAGAAATTTAAACATTTTTTTTGCTAATAAAACTTAAAATAATGTTTTTCAAGCCAACTAAATTTAAAATAATATCAATTTTCAGTCCACAATTGCCGAATTCAGTGAGAAGATGCTTTCAAACTTTGTAAATCACGTTAGTTCGTACGTAGTTTCATTCCCGGATCCTATGAATCCATCGCATGCTACGGAGTACATACCAATCAAATCAGTCAACGATTGGTTTTCCAATTTTAAACGACGCTTACAATTCAATCCAAACTTTTGGAAATCCATGTAAATTAGTATTTATTGTAGTTGTGATCAATTTTATTGTAAAATATTGGACATAAATTGATTTTACTGTAGTATAAAGAAGATAAATTGATTTTACTGTAGTATATTTATGGAATATTGATTGTTATGGTAATATATTGAAGTATATGGATTAGAATGTGATACGATAAAATGTATCGAAGCCACTGGGCAATTTATTTCGAACAAGTTTATCATGCTTTACATAGTAAAATAAGGAATTTAAAAAACAACATCATGTATTGACGTTTACTATAAGAGCTTCCATAACAATAGCTAGGATAGTAATAACAATAGTCATAGCTGTAACCTGAACTGCCATAACCATAGCTACCATAACTCCCGTATCCAGAAGCGTATCGGCTTGCTCCAATTACTCCAAGTGTAGCTATTGAGCCAACAGCTGCTGCAGTGCCTAAGGCTGCTACCGGGTAGCGTCCTCCGTACCAGCCGCCTCTGCCGTAACCGTAGCCACCATAACGACCACCGTAGCCACCGTAACGGCCGCCGTAGCAACCTCGGTAGGCATATGCTGTGTTTAAGAGTAAAAATAGAAGTAAGAACTATTTAGTGTTTTGTGGTTTTAAAATTAATCATAATATAATATATGGCTAAAGGTAGAATTAGAATTTTAGCTTGTCATGAGCTAAAGCGAAGACTAGATCTTGGCATGAACATAAGTTCTAAATCTAGTCTAATAATTAGCTTTAGCCTTAACCTTTGCCTCAGTCATCGACCTAGTTTTAGCCTTAGACCAAGTTCGTGAGCTGAAACTAATGTTGGACATCAGCCTCAACATAAGCTTTAGATTTATGTATATAGTCTTAGTATTAGTTTTAGTTTCAGCCTAGCCTAAACCCTAGCTTAAGCTCAAGCCTAGTCCAAGCCTACCCTGGCCCTAGCTCTAGTCCAGTCATAGCCCTAGTTGTGATTCTTTGGACATAGCTTAGGAAGTTATTTTTTTATCTTTTGAGACACAATATTAACATGAACTCATATCTAATCGTTTGAGATAAAAACACTTTTTTTACTCTCCTTTTCCCTCTCAATTTCAAATCTCGTACTTTGGCCTATTACGCAACTCTCGTTTAAGCGCCAAATCTTTACAATATCGGTAGACAACTATAAGTTTCGTGAAAAATAGAAAATTGTGTGTAGATTTAAGATACTATAAATACACCTTGAAAGTTTGTCAATTCATCAGTTGTTCAAGTTTTTCATCTGTCACTAGCGACTTTTTCTTGTTTATCTTTTATTAACCTCAGCTTCATCGTTAAAAGTAAGTTCTATAAATATTGTATCCTTCATGTATTGTTTTTGTTAGTACAAAGCAGAATATTGTTACAGCGGTAAATTTTCAGAAGATTTTGTTGAGAAACGGAGTTAAAAGGGGGATCAATATTAATATAATACTGTACTATAACATTAATAGTGTTAAAATCAGTTATCTTTTTCCTTCCAAGAAATTTTACTTTGGCTCAGGGTCCGTCTTCCTGTTGATTTAAAAAAAGTTTATGCAAATTTTTACCTTCTTTAAATTAAAATTCTGTATGATCAAGATAACCCCTTTGAGATTTAAATGAATAAATTTGAATGATCAAAAGTAGTTTACCATAAAATATATTTATTTTTCAGTGATCTCTGACGCCGATTTTGACCGAATGAACGCTTACTTCGCAGCCAACCCACTCTCAGAGGACAACTGGCAACGGGGACGGCTAGCTCAAGCCGTCCGAAACAACAGTTTAGACAAAGAAATGAATGTAGAGGAGAACATAGTGACTAAGTTCAATCGTAGCTTCGGCAAAGAACAATAATAACTAAATAATTATGTACATTTGGATCGTGTTTTACATTACTTTAGCCTACTGTGATGCTTTTTAGTTATTATATAATAATAAAATATGATAGCAATGCCTTGTTTTTAAAGTTTATTTAAGTATTTATGTATACATTTACAAAACAATAGTTAAAAAGGATGCTTATCATAAGTAATGACATGTCAGGTTCATATTATAGTACTTTAAAGATATTATAATAATTTAAAAATTCAAAAAAATCACTTTCCATAAGAATACGAAGAGTAAGGCTGGCATTGTGAAGCATATGGATAGTACTGACAATAACTGTAACCATATCCACTGCTTCCATAGCTACCGTAACTGCCATAGCCCCCACTATAACCGCCACCATAAGATCCGCCGTACATGCTACTGGCTCCTATTACTCCAAGTGTACCTATCGCACCAATAGCAGCACCTGTAGCTAACGCAGCTCCAGCTCCGTAGCCTGGATAGTAGCCACCGTACCAGCCTCGTCCACCGTAGCCGCCGTAACGTCCGTAGCCCCAGCCGCCTCTACCGTAGCCGCCATATCCACCATAACCTCCTCGGCCGTAGCTTCCGTAACCACCGTGTCCATAGCCTCCATAACCACCATGACCATAGCCCCCGTAACCACCATGGCCATAGCCTCCACCGTAGCCTCCGTGACCACCGTAGCCTCCACCATGACCTCCGTAGCCGCCACCACCGTGGTGGTGTTGGGCGAAAGATAAGTTGAGGATACAGAAGGCAATTAAGAGAACGAAGATAGAGTTTGACATCATTTTAGAGGAGCTATTACTATAGGTGGTACTATGAAATTAGGTGTTATTTTATAGTAGACACTAATTTAGCAAAAAAAACCAGTTAGATGCCAACCAAGTCAATAGTAGAACTGTTGATTGTCAAAAACTTCTATACCTATTTATATTCATATTGAAAGCCGTTACCAATTTACCCTGCCCTAAACTGAGTTACTTTTTTTATTTGTCAAACATTCGTTTGCCGAAGTCGTCTGTCGCGAAATGTTTACTCCAGAAAGACGACAAATCAATGTGTATGTGACGACAAAGATAACATAAAGTCAAGACTGACCCGCCTTTTTGACCAACGTGACAAGGTTAGGGTAACACCAAAACAAGACTGTCTGGAGAGGTCTGGGGGTTTGAGAAAGGTTACTATTATAGTAAGGGTTGTTTGGTAAAGGCTATTATTATAGGTAAGGGCTTTGGTGAAGACTATTATTACAGGTAAGGGGTTTGGTAAAGGCTACTATAAGGTTGTTCAAATAATTCTGTGCCCCAAACCATAAAAATTGGCTTTGAGAGATGGCTCAGAATTACTTGAACAAACAAATATGACACAGTTAAAGGAAGGTTAGGGAAACATACCATAGTCTATTAACATAGTTTGGTCAATTCTACTACGACACAGCTAAGTAAAGGCTACATAAGCAAAACATATTTTGATCAAGTCTACTACAACAACGTTTGGTCAAAACAAGCATGACCTACGATAATTAAGTAAAGACTAATGGAACATTGTTTGGTTAAGACCGCTATGACGTAGTTAACTATCGCATAACATGTAAAGTTTGGTCAAGATTGCTATGACATAGTTAACCCTAGCATAACACAGTTTGGTCAAGCCTAACATAACTTGTAGTTTACTGAATACTCTGTAGTAGAACAGTAATTTGCTAAATACTGTGGAGTAGATCAATAGTTTGCTGAGTAGTTTGTAGTTGTCCCGCCAGAGAACAGATAGAAGCCAAAGAAAGGTTACTGAAAAATCTGTGGAGTAACTCTATAGTCTGCTGAATACCTTGTAGTACAAAATGCAACATGCTATAGTTTGTAGTCATTTAAAAATAACCTTTTTTCAACAAATTTAAACGTCGAAATTTGACGAATCAGCTACAGCCAGTGTTTTGCCGGACCGAAACGAAAATTTTTGCGGACAGGGCCGGACCCAAAAACCTGTGGACCCGGAACTGTTTTAAAAATTGCAAAGAAAACTTATTTTTAAGTGTTTTTAAACGTAAAGAAAACAGTTTTAGCGCTCTTTGTTGTTTCCAAAAATAAAAAAAAAATTTTTTGCGGACCGGACCCAAAAATTTTGGGTTTGGACCGGACCGGACCTAAAAATTTGAAGTTTGGACCGGACCGGGCCCGAAAATCGCCGGACCGGATCGTTGAAAAACGCTCGGGACCGGTCCGGGCAAAACACTGGCTACAGCAGACAGAGAACAGATAGAAACCAGAGAAAGGTTACTTTTACGTCGATTACTATTTGACGAGTTACCATTAAAAAAATTTTAAAAAATTTATGTTGCTGTTGCTAAATTCATGTTAAGATGGAGTGTGGTTTCTGATTAGTCTTATAATTTTATTTTAGTTCTAAATGTTTCAATGTGTTTAGATTTTGGTGTTCTTTGCTTTTTTTAAATGTTTAAATTTAATTTTAAACGTAAAGTAAAATTTTAGCTAAATAAAGCTACAGTTGAACTAAGGCGCGGCAAGTGAAAAATTTAAAAAACCTACAGTAAGGCTAGAGAAGAAGCGGGCAAAACTAAGGAATAGTCCTGATGACTAGGACAGAAGAGAAAAATACCATAGCGGTAAAGGTAAAGTAAACTCGCTAACTGAAGCAAAAGCTAGGTTTAAGTCTAGGTCTAGGATAGGTCTCAACCTAGGGCTTTGGGCTAGGGCTTTGGGCTTGGATATTGCTAGGACCCTGGGCTAGGGCTATGGGCTAGGGCTCAGAGCTAGCGCTCTGGGCTAGGGCTCTGGACTAGGGCTTGGGCTTGGGTATTGCTAGGGCTCTGGGCTAGGGCTGAGGCTAGGGCTGAGGCTAGGGCTGAGGCTAGGGCTGAGGCTAGGGCTGAGGCTAAGACTGAACTATTTTTAACAAAATTTAGCTTTAAAAAGTTGAAAACAAACCAGATCAGATCTCACCTTGAACTCAAAAACTCCAAAAACATTTTTTTACAGTTTTTAGAGCGAACTAGTCAAATGGCTTTAATTTTAACACTTTTTGGCGACGCGCCAGACCTTGATTTAGCAAACAAGAGCTCTGCCACGGTTTCAAGGGTGTAATTAGGTAGTATAATATATGTTAGTTCGGTCTTCACCAAGCCCTCACCTTACTCCCTTACGTCTTAAAACGTGTATGCGGCATTGAAAAAAGGGATAAATGGTACCAAATAGTTGTTCAAATAATTCTGTCTCCTCTAACACCGAAAATTTGCTTTGAGAACGCAGGATTACTTGAACAATATTATATACAAGAAGATTATTCTCAAGCATAGCGGGCTGGTCGGACACTTTCTTTGTTAGTTTAGTTAGAGGGCACAGAATTACTTGAACAACCTGGTGGTTGAAAGATTTATTTTTTAAAAAGAATTTACTTTGTACCATAGGTTATGTATATGACGTTACAGTATCAAACAAAAAATTTTAAACTTTTTAAATTTTTTTTAAATTTTCAAAAAAATATTAAATTTTGATCAAGTTTTTGAAAAATAGGTAACAATCTCGTAAAAAATCATAATATATACAATATTTACATTTCAAATTTAAAAAAAATTGGAATTTTAACCATAATTAGTGCCATACGACGTTGACACTGAGAATGCTGGCGATGATACAGCTGATGATGATGACAATGAAGTAGAAGCATAAGGTTGACATTGAGAAATATATGGGTAATATTGGCAATAACTAGCATTATAAACATTGTTGTCGTAGCTACTTCCATATCCACTACTGTAGCCAGTATTAGCGCTGCCATATCCACTACCGTAGGTGCTACCGTAACCACTACCAGTGGTACTACCATATCCGCTACCGTAACTACTGCCATAACCACTGCCATATCCACTGCCGTAGGTACTACCATAGCCACTGCCATATCCACTACCGTAACTACTACCATAACCATTACCGTATCCGCTACCGTAACCACTACCGTAGCTACCGTACCCACCATAACCATTACCATAACTACCGTACCCACTACCATAACTACCATACCCACTACCATAGCTACCGTACCCACTATAACCACTACCATAGCTACCATACCCACCATAACCACTACCATAGCTACCGTACCCACCAAGTCCTCCGTAACTACCGGCCCCAAGTAGTCCAATAAGACCCAGTCCACCTAATCCACCATAGCCATAGCCAGGATAGTAGCCACCGTACCAGCTGCTACCGTAACCTCCAGATCCACCGTAACCTCCATATCCATATCCACCGTAACCATAGTGATGATGTCCACCAATACCTCCAAGATGCATACTATGATGTCCACCAATATGAAGTCCACCGCTATGACCTCCACCATGATGACCACCACCCCCATGCCCACCACCCCCATGCCCACCACCACCATGCCCATGGCATATTGATGGGTTTATCAAACAGAATATGAGGAAGAGGATAAGGCTTGAGTTCATCGCCATTTTTATGGTTTTACAGGTCTTTGGTAGATCTGAAAGGTAGGGCAACATTATATAAACGTGATATTCAGGCCACAATTTAGGCTAAAACTGAAGCTAAGGCAAAGACTGACACTAAGGATTGAGCTAGAGCGCAAGCTATGTCCTAAACTAAGATCTAGACTAATTGTATGATAAAGAAGAAAAGTAAGGCTTAAGCCAAAGCTAGGACTAAAGCCAGAAATAGGAAGAGAGCTAAGGCTTTGAACTAGTGCATAGGCTGGGGCTTAGAGTAGAACTAAAGCTTAAGCTAGGGCTTAGGTTAGGGCTTAGGCGAGAATTTAGGCTAGGGCTTAGGCTAGGGCTTAGGCTAGGGCTTAGGCAAGAGTTTAGGCCAGAACCTTGGTGAAAACTTAGACCAAGGCTTGAGCGAAGGCTTAGGCCAGTGCTCTGAATAGGACTTAGCCTAGGGCTTGAGGTAAGTCTTAGACTATGACTGAGGCTCAGGTTAGAACATAAACTAGAGCTTAGGCTCGGGCTGTAGTTGGGGCTGAAGCTAGACCTGAAGCTAGAGCAAAAACAAAAGCTTAGACTCAAGCTTAGGCTATGGCTGAGGCTAAGTCTAAGGCTAGAGCTGAAGCTAAGTCTAAAGCTAGTGCTTAAGCTGGAATTTAGCTGAGCTTAGGGCATAGGTTAAGGCTAAAGCTAAGGATAGAGCTAGGACTGAAGCTGTGATTCGAGATAAGGCTAGGCAAGACAAACGTAAGGCTAAAGCATACATAAGATTTATCAAAAAGGAAATGAGCTAACCCACCTGACGTCAAAATGGTTAAAATCAAATCAAAACCAACTCGAACCGTAAACAGAAATCACATTTGATCACGTCGGAGAGATGGGCACGCTAACGGAACGCTTGAAGGTACGGGCTATTTAAGGTCGATCAACAACCGTTACCTATTGACAAGATTCGCTGCCTGGAGCACTTTTTGCTTTTAATTCGCCGAATTTTGATGCTAACCATCCATAAACAAAGGATGTAGCAAACAGTTTGTTGTGATCGACCAGGAAGTGGTCATTAAGTCACTATGATAGTGTAAGAATTAGTAAAAGCAAACAAAGTTTTGTAGTAAACATATATCAACATGTCATACACATCGATCCTGACCCATTACCTATAAGAAGTATACCTATTTACGACAAACAGTTCAATCGGCAAACTCTAGGCTAGTTATTTGACGAATAAATAGGAAAAGGCTGTTAAGTCATCAGATGGATTGGAGAAAACACTGTAATAGTAATAGTAAAGTATTACAATTACTGTAATATAACTGTAATAATTTTCTGAGCTTCCTATAGTATTTTATTCCTATTACGTCAAGAAATAAAAGACTGTAGTAAAGGTGGTTTAGTTTAGAACATCTTTGTTGTCAATAGACTTTGTGGTTTTTTGAAGGCTGTAACTTATGTACTACTCAATACATTAGTCTATCGTTATGAACTACCAGGACTAGAGGCAACAACATCCCTAGCGTTAATCCTAGTACTAGCATCAACCTTAGTACTATCCTTAACCCTTGGTCAAAACATATTTCAAGTTTCAGTCCTAGTCCTAATCCTTTAGCCATTCTTATAGCCCTTTTTTTGCTCCTGGTCCTAGCTTCAGTCCTAGCCTCGACGTTGTCTTCAGCCCTAGCGCGGCCCTAGCCTAGAGCCCTAGCCCAGAGCCCTAGCCTAGAGCCCTAGCCCAGAGCCTTAGCCCAGAGCCCTAGCTCAGAGCCCCAGTCCTAGCCTTAGCTCTGGTTTCAGCCCTAGTCCTAGCCCTAGCTCTGGTTTCAGCCCTAGTCCTAGCCCTAGCTCTGGTTTCAGCCCTAGTCCTAGCCAATCTTGAGGAAAAGAGACAGAGGAGGAGTAAAAAGGCCCCGTCCGGTAAAATCGCACCAAAAAAAGGCCCGACCCCTGGAAATACCATTAAATGCAACTTTACTTCAGCCCGGCCAAAGATAAAGCCGATCCTAGTGAGCACCCTTTCAGGATAAACAGCTTTTACGTCTGGCTGATTTACACCTAGATTTTGACCTAGGGAACAACACAATAAATTGGGCTAAGTACTAGGTTATCTTATATTTGTTTTATCTAAACTACGGCCCATTTGCATATCTTTTGATCGGAGAAGGTATAACTCGCTGAGAAATTGTTACAATTAACTTTCTGACTTTTTGTGTTCTATTTTGTGGTTTCTAGCGATTTTTGATTTCATTTACGTTTTTTACCGTGTCTTCCATTTTTCAACCCATAATACTTTCTTTATGCCCATAACACGTGCCTCGTATTTTACCTTCATAAAACAAATTTTCAAACTACATTGAAACTCCTGTATAACGAATGGCTTTAGTGCTCTCTAGGAATTTTAAAGTTGTTCGTTATACGAGGTTTTCGTTATACAGGTGTACCATGTTACTATTTTTCAAAAGCCTGAAGTAAAACTTCAAATTAAGATTTATTAATCGTATTTAATAATAAAAAAGAAGTGATTATCAGGATGAACAATGTCAATATCATAAAACTAAAGACTTTGAACACGTTTTTGAACCAAAATTAGTGTCATACCTTTCATTTTCAAAAATAAAACTACTTTTTCGAATAACAAGCCAGTGACACAACTTATATTCAATCAAAGGGTTTTCAAACGCGCCTTTCCTTTCGCATCTACTCAAAACATAAGGATAACATCAACAACACTCTTCCGCATCTTTAACAACTCTTGCCGGCTTATCGACCAAAACTTTGCCGACTCTTAACGAACAAACCGTTGTCGAACCGCAATCATTCTTCTTTTAATTTCGCCCTCAGGAAAATTGTCGAGATCATAGTACGAAGGTGCCAGTTGTAACAACCATTCCGGCCTCACATCCGTCACTGTTCTGATGTAGTTCTTCGATGTTAACACAAATTCATTGTACAGGACCCACTCGGGTTTGTGGTCGAGTACGGTGCTGGGGTGGAGAGAGACGAGTTGGTGGTCTTTTACCGTGACATAGTTGCCACTTCGCTCTAGATGGGCGATTTGCATGAAGAAGCCGCAGACCAGGGCTTTTCTGATGTTTAGGTAATAGTCTCGAGAGTTGAAGTCAGTAGAAACGCGCGGTAAGTTGTACTTGTCCATGAGGCGAGAGAGTTGCATTCGAACGTTGTCGCAGTTCTTGAGGGCACGGTAGTTGACGAAGTTTTTGTAGCACCATTGGGGGTCGTCTTGGCCTGAAATTAATCAAAAATGATTTTTTTTTATTTTAAATTTCTTTTTTTTTTAATTTTAAACATTTTAAAGTTTATGTTTTAAAATTTTCAACTCTAAACTTCAAAGTACAAAAAAATTTTAAAATTCAAAATTTTAGGTAACAAATTCCTTCAATCTTCAAAAAAACTTTATATTATCAACAACAATCCTCTTCTACACCAAAAACATCCAAAACCCAAACCTACTCTGCTTAAAAGCGTGATAAACATTCAGTAACGTCAAGTGATCTCCATCAACATGAGCAAACCTTGCTTTAGCTTCGTCCGCCTCTTGTTTTGCTTCATTTGGCCTGACAAAGCATTGTGGTACTGATAACATGGCTGTGATACTCAAAACTTCATTCGAGCACTTCAAATCCGTTGAAGATATTAACATCTTGGCCAGTTGTGGATCTAAGGGGAACTCGGCCATCAATGAGCCAAGTTCTGTTAGATCTCCATTGTCATCGATGGCTGAGAGGTAGTTCAACATTTCTAGGGCTCTCATCAGGGTTTCTGGAGCTGGTGGGTCCATGAAATCGAAATGGACAAGGTCGTCGATGCCTAGTTTTTTGAGTTGGAGGACTACGCTGCCTAGGTTTGACCTAAAATGAGGTTATATTAGGCTTTAAAGTTGAAAAACCTGAAGTAAACGTAGGGTTAGGTACAAAACAAACTATAATAGATCAATCTAGATATGAAATAATGAACAGTTTACCTAAAATTACAATATAAACCCTAATAAGATAAAAAACAACCTAAAACAACACAAAAATCCTTTAAAAACACTATTTTTCAAGCTCAAAACACGATTTTTATCACTCAAAATACCTACCTCAAGATCTCCGGATACGTCTGATCCTGCATTTCACTTTTATAAGCCTTTTCCGTGTATAACCTAAAGCATTTTCCCGGTTTCGTCCTTCCAGCACGGCCAGCACGTTGCATAGCTGAAGCTTTACTAATCGGGCACACCAACAACGACTCCACCCTGATCCGAGGGTTATATACCTTTTGTTTCGAAAACCCTGGATCAATCACGAACACAATACCATCAATAGTCAATGAGGTTTCGGCAATGTTGGTTGAGATCACACACTTTCGGCCGATACCTCCGTTGGGCTTGTCAGCTGGCGGTGGATCGAAGATACGCTGTTGAAGATTTGGAGGTAATGTTGAGTATAGTGGGATGCAGTTCATTGCTCCGGCATCTGGCCCAACGTTCTGGATTTCACGTTGAATTCGCTTACAGGCTTCTTCAATCTCTTCTTGACCTGTGAGGAAGAGTAAGATGTCTCCTTTGATCTCTTCACACAGATGTACCTGCATAACGGTGCGGACCGCAGCTTCTAGGTAGTCTCGCTCGGCTTCTGGGGTGTACTGAAAGTAAAGAAAGGTGTAACAGTGTTAAGAAAATCCTTTTTATTCACTAAAAAATTTTAAAAACGATTTAAAATTATAAAAACAAAAAAATCACCAAAAATCAAGGATATTATCCTTTAAAAAAATCATTTTTATATATTACACCAGTCAAAAATCCTCAAACTCCCTATAAAAACCTACAAAGATCTCCACAGGATGTGTTCTACCCGGTACACTCATCAATGGGCAATCGTCAAAGTAGTTTTGGAACTTTCCAGCATCCAACGTAGCACTCATAACCACTACTTTAATGTCCGGTCGATTCTTGAGCACTTCTTTCAACAATCCCATCAAAATATCGGTTGATAAGGTCCTTTCGTGAGCTTCGTCAAGAATAACTACACCATAATTCTCAAGCAACGGTGAGTTCATCGCTTCTCTCAACAACATACCGTCAGTTAAATACTTGAGGAAGGTCCTTTCTGTGCAGCAATCTTCGAAACGAATCGAATATCCAACCTCTGAGCCAAGCTAGAAAGAAGTAATACAGTATTTTCAGCTTTCTTTAAGATAAAGTAAAGTTCACAACCCATTGTTATAGAGGAAATCCTAAAATCAACAAAAAACACCAAAAAACCTACTGCAACATCCATTTCCTCTGCTACTCTTGTCGCCACGCTCATAGCAGCCACCCGTCTTGGCTGTGTACACGCCACCATCATCTTCTTGCCCTGTATATGCCTATGTTTAACATAATCCGTGCACCATTGAGGAATCTGAGTTGTTTTGCCAGACCCAGTCTCACCAACCAATGTTATACATTGATTCGCGTCCAAAAGCTCCATAAATTTCTCTTTATATTGCCATACTGGCAATTTTGTACGCTTTTCAAGAATGGAATAATAGTTAGGAGTGAATGGGTTACCATTGTAAGGATTTAACACCGTTTGGCGTATTTTTGGTTGAAGAGGATTTACAAGTCCTGGAGCTGGAATATCTGACGCTTTCTCGGCAAACTTAGAAGATTTAGACTCCTTTTCCATTGGCAAAGGTGCTGGAGCATCAAACCCAGCTGTTGAGATCAAAGGTGATCGACTCCGATCACGTCTAGAATTAAAATAGTGTAATTCATGTTATTGATACTTATATAGTTAAATTTAGTTAATTTGCTATCAAAAAAACCCATTTTTAACTAGTACATTACCAAAACAAGCCAAACACAATGCTAAAAGTCTGTGCAAGCTAGCCCAGTCATGATCTACTTCAATTTATTTCAAAACTGTTTCGTTTTCCTTCAAACTTTGAGTGTAAATCCACAAAAAGTGCCGACTCTACCTAAAATTTAAAAAAAATAAAATTCAAATACTCACTTCGAAGATCCTCCGATGTCAAGACGTCGTTTCCGTTCCGACATTGCTCCAAATGAAGGTGTAACACCTAGAAAATGCTATAGCAAGCCCAACAAAAAAGAAATATTATTAGAGAAACAGTTGACGCGCCTGAGTCAAGCCTTTCTCTGTTGAAATAATTTAGAAATTTTACGAAATTTTAGAATTCTGTGCGAGTCATCTTGATTATGTACATCAATAATGCAAAGTACTTGATAAAATTAATTGTAAAAACAAAGAATATGTTGTACATTAACATTTTCATCATTTTATTGGTTTAAAATCCACTTTTTGGTCAAAAACTAAAGAGATAGTTGAAGATAACGCTGGATAACATTGAGAATATGGCAAAGGATTTGCTGTAACTTTAGTGTATGGTTTTTTAATATTGTATGAGTAAACTGAGACCTAAATTTTAAATTTGGTTATTGTATTTTAAATTGCATTACGACAGACGACCGGAAGGGATTTTAATGTCATAGATAACATAATCTGAGAAATTTTGCAAAATTATTATTTTCAAGGATTTTTACGTTTTTTCAATTTGCATACTATCATAATTTACATAAGTCGAAACTTTTCTCTCGAATGTTTTTGTAATTTTTCGGCTTCGGAGACCTTCTCGAATGTTCGAATTCCTTCTTTGCGAATGTTCGGCTGCCGCGTTTTGGCCAGTTTTGGTCATTCCGCACTCTTTCCTCGCTGCCAGATGGACGTTATGGGTGTAAATTTTTTAATCTTTCTCGAAACTTGTAGTCCGATCTTGTGGCTGTCAGTTTTAGTCGTTTATCATGCGTAGAAACATCTAGAAAACGCGGGAAAGCGATTTGAAGTGCACGGAATGTATTTTTCGATTCGCTCCGCCTTTTGTTCGCGAATTTTCTCCAATTTTCCGCCTAAATCTTCGTCCGAGGCTGGTGGTGAAGGTCCAGTATTTGAGGCAGAGTCGAGGGCGTGGAGTAGTTTGCTTTTTTCTCAAGTTCTCTATTATAATAGGCTGGTGTTGTTGGACGTTGGTGGGGGTATATAAGCATTAAGATGGGATGTTAAGGGTTCGCGGTATATTCTTCGCGTTCTTATCATCATTTTTATGTTTTTCTTACCTAAAATTTTCGCGTTTTTCGTGTTTTGTGATTTTTTTGATGTTACCTGTTATAATATCAAATATATTATTCATTTCGCTTCATAGTTGTTAACCTTACTCATTTCAGGATTGTGTTTTGAATATGTCCGAACAAAAGGAAGAAACCTTCGCCTTCCAGGCTGAGATCGCTCAGTTGATGAGCTTGATCATCAACACCTTCTACAGTAACAAGGAGATTTTCCTTCGTGAATTGATTTCCAACTCTTCCGATGCCTTGGACAAGATCCGCTATCAGGCCCTCACCGAGCCCCAGGAATTGGAGTCCGGCAAGGAATTGTACATCAAGATCACCCCAAACAAGGCCGACAAAACCTTGACCATCATGGACACTGGTATTGGTATGACCAAGGCCGAGCTGGTCAACAACTTGGGTACCATCGCCAAGTCAGGTACCAAGGCTTTCATGGAGGCCCTTCAGGTAAGCATTTTTTATTGTTTTCGATGTTTTAGGTATGAATTTTGGAGGAGATGAGTTTTATCGGATTTATTAGGTATTGATCTTGGGAAAAACATATTTTACTTCAATTTTGGGTTTAAAACTTGAAGTTCTTTATAAAAATCGTTAGCTAAGAGTGTGTAGCAGCTTTGGTAATCATTTCCTTTTGCCCAGATGTCAAAAAATTTTAAATTTTATTGTTTTAGGCTGGAGCTGATATCTCCATGATTGGTCAATTTGGTGTCGGTTTCTACTCGGCCTTCTTGGTTGCCGACCGTGTTGTTGTCACCTCAAAGAACAACGATGATGACTGCTACGAGTGGGAATCGTCGGCTGGTGGCTCGTTTGTTATTCGCTCAATCTCTGATCCAGAACTCACCCGTGGTACCAAGATCACCCTCCACATCAAGGAAGACCAGACCGAATACCTCGAGGAGCGCAGAATCAAGGAGATCGTTAAGAAGCACTCTCAATTCATCGGGTACCCAATCAAACTTGTAGTTGAACGTGAACGCGAGAAGGAGGTCGAAGACGACGAAGCCGAAGAGACCAAGGAAGAGGAGAAGAAGGAGGAAGAAAAGAAGGAAGGAGAAATCGAAGAAGTGAACGAGGATGAGAAGAAGGATGAAAAGAAGACCAAAAAGATCAAGGAGAAGTACCTCGAGGACGAGGAGCTCAACAAGACCAAGCCCATCTGGACCAGAAACCCCGACGACATCTCCAACGAGGAGTACGCCGAGTTCTACAAGTCCTTGTCCAACGACTGGGAAGACCACTTGGCTGTTAAGCACTTCTCGGTCGAAGGTCAACTCGAGTTCCGTGCTCTTCTCTACGTACCACAAAGAGCTCCATTCGACTTGTTTGAGAACAAGAAGGCTAAGAACTCGATCAAGCTCTACGTTCGTCGTGTATTCATCATGGAGAACTGCGATGAGTTGATGCCCGACTACTTGAACTTCATCAAGGGTGTTGTCGACTCTGAGGATCTTCCATTGAACATTTCTCGTGAAATGCTCCAACAATCCAAGATTCTGAAGGTCATCCGCAAGAACTTGGTCAAGAAGTGCATGGAATTGTTCAACGAGATTGCTGAGGACAAGGACAACTTTAAGAAGTTCTACGAACAGTTCGGAAAGAACATCAAGGTAGGTTTTGATATTTTACGTAAATAAGATTTTTGGTCAAGTCAAAGTAAAAAAACGGAAAAAAATCACAAGTTATATAAAAGATGATGTTGTAGCTCTTGTTCTAATGATATTGTTTTTAGCTCGGAATCCACGAAGACTCGACCAACCGCAAGAAGCTCTCTGAGTTCCTCCGCTATCAAACCTCCACCTCTGGAGACGAGACCTCTTCCCTTCAGGACTATGTCAGCCGCATGAAGGAAAACCAAACCTCTATCTACTACATTACCGGAGAATCCAAGGAAGCCGTTGCCAACTCTGCCTTTGTTGAACGTGTCAAGAAGCGAGGATTCGAGGTTATCTACATGGTTGACCCCATTGACGAGTATTGCGTCCAACAGTTGAAGGAATTCGACGGCAAGAAGTTGGTCTCTGTCACCCGCGAAGGCTTGGAACTCCCAGAATCAGAGGAGGAGAAGAAGAAGTTCGAGGAAGACAAGGTTAAGTTCGAGAAACTGTGCAAGGTCATGAAGGATATCTTGGACAAGAAGGTCCAAAAGGTCTCGGTCTCGAACCGTTTGGTATCTTCACCATGCTGTATTGTCACCTCCGAGTACGGATGGTCCGCCAACATGGAACGTATCATGAAGGCTCAAGCTCTCCGTGACTCCTCCACCATGGGCTACATGGCCTCCAAGAAGAACTTGGAAATCAACCCTGACCACAGCATCATGAAGTAAGTTGTTTTACCTTGTTTTAATCTTAAATTTTGGAACAACTTTTTTTAAATTTTTCAAACACAGTAGTTTTATTGCTTTTTACTATTAGTTTATAAATATACTTGTGTTTCAATATTGTTTTACTAACTGAATCCTTCTTCAGGGCTCTGTGCGACCGTGTTGAAGCCGACCAAGATGACAAGACCGCCCGTGACTTGGTTGTTCTTCTCTTCGAGACCGCCTTGTTGACCTCTGGATTCTCCCTGGAAGAGCCCGGATCTCACGCCTCCAGAATCTTTAGAATGATCAAGCTCGGTCTGGACATTGACGAAGCCGACGCTGAGGAAGCCACTTCGTCGGCCGCCGTCGAAGAGGTCCCCAAGGTCGAAGGAGCTGAGGAAGACGCCTCTCGCATGGAAGAAGTCGACTAAATCATCCAATGACATCTTTATCTACTTGTCTCCGATCTCTATGTTATTTGTTCACTATTAAAGCTAATATATTGTAGTAAATTGGTTTTTTTAACTTTGTTTTTGAACTGTATAGTATTTTTAAAATTGAGAAAATGAACTTTGAAATATTATTTTAACCTTTTTGGGAATTTAGAAATATTTTAGATTTTTAGAACTTTAAAATTACTATAGCAAAGTTTCGTTATAAATATGGCGTTTATTGGCGTCATAAGTATTTTCAAATGGTAAATGATATAAAAACAATATAAGTTAAGCATACGACAAAATAGAACCGGTACGAAATGACAGATATTTACATAAATCTACAGTATACCTGCTAAACGTTGTTTGGAATTTGGACCACACACACAATAATATCTTTTACCATGGTAGTTGAAAGATCATAAGCAAATGGTTGTACTCTTACAAATACTGGCTTTGCATTTGTTTCAGGTTAGGGACGGGGTTGGTCAAAAAGTGCGTAGAAACATGTCCAAGTCTTATTTTTTGAAACTTGAATTTTTGATTATTCTATGCACTTTTTGACCAAGTTACAACATTATAGAAATGATTAATCTTATTATATGATAATTAAAATATTAATAGCCGGTTAAAAAGTTTCCAGCCTTTTGTTCCGTCCATTTTTCACAAACTTCTATATTCACCATGACCGACATCCAGACCTCTATTTGAATCCTCCAAAGTCCATTTTGAGTTCGATGGTGGGTTTTTGGTTGGCGGCCTGAAGAGCGGCCAAATGGGCGGCTTTGGCCTTTTGTTGTTGCTCCAGCTGGGCTTGTTTTTGGGCTTCGAATTGGCGTTGAATCACGCTGGCGGCGGCTTCGATTCGCTGTTTTACTGGCGCACAGTGTTGGATTAGGCCTTTGAAGGGCTGAAAAGTGGGGATATTAAGCTTGTCATTCAAGTAATTTTTAAAATTTTTTAAAAATTCGTTTTAAACAGTGTTTTGCCGGACCGGTCCGGTCCGCGGACGGACCCAAAAATTTTGGGTTTGGACCGGACCCAAAAATTTGAAGTTTAGACCGGACCAGACCCGAAAATCGCCGGACCGGATCGTTGAAAAACGCTCCGGACCGGTCCGGGCAAAACACTGGTTTTGAAATTGGAAAAATCTTGATTTCTAATAAAAAATCGGTCGAAATTTCTCAAAAATCGACGAAAAAATTTTAAAAAATCCATTTTCAGATCCTCCCCTAGCCATTATTTATCTCCGTTTTCCTGCCTAGACAAGAAAAATAAATCTCCACCCCTGTCCGATCTAAAAACATACATCCCCACCCCTGCCAAGACTAGAAAAATACATCTCCACCCCTGCCCTGACTAGAAAAAACACTTCTCCACCTCTTCCTCAACCCCTATATCACCATCCACCACCCTTACCTCCGGATATTTCGGCCCAATCATGTGAAGCCTCTGATAAGCAAAGTCGTGTAGCTTCTTCACATTCTCAGGCACGCTCTTCAGTTGATTCTCGGGATCAGGACACAAAAATCTGACCAAGCATCGGACTAGTAGATTGACGAACATGAACGTTTTTTCGCCTTTGGACATTGCCAAAACTGATTCGACCGCTTTTATCGTTTCTTGGATCGTGAGTAGCTCGGAATCCGAGAGTTCAGTCAGGACGGGCAGGTCGGTTTCTGAGGCCGGTTTGTGAGTTTTGCCATTTTCGTCCGCAATTACCATGCCTTCGTCCATTAGGTAGGGCTTTATTTTGTTGAAGACGGCTGGGCCTAGCTCTGAAAGTTGGGAAAAAGTTAGTTAAGGATGGTCTAAAAAAATGAAACTGTTTCTCATTTTATGGCTCAGGCAAGGTAAAATAGGGGTTTAGACCTATAAAGCAGCTGGGCACAATTTTTCAGCCCGGACCATTTAAAAACGATTGTTAAGTAAATATAATAGCTTTAAAATCAAGTTCGTTTTACGGTTTTCGCAAGTAAAATCTTTCGTTGCGGGACCCAGGGGCGTCGCTACAGATTTTTTTCTTGGGGGGGAGGGTGGGGGGGGGGTGAAGACCTAAAAATTTTTTTGGTCCACAGGTACAGGGGTTGGATCCACCCTCCCCCGCCCTAGCGGCGCCATTGGCGAAACCTAAGTTGAGCCCCCGGAGTCATGTTTTAGGGTCCAGTCTTCGGGTCCACATGTGCGAGCCCGGGCCGGCCCCAGGGACGTCGCTACGGATTTTCTCTGGGGGAGGGGGAGGTCGAAAAAAAATTTTTCGTCCACAGGTAAGGGACCTGTGGACCGGTTTTTCATAAAATTTTTTGTTTTTTCGCGTACAGGTCCTGCGTAATTTTTTTCGGATTGGCTCTGGGGGAGGGGGTACCCCCCCCCCTCCCCCTCCCCAAACGACGTCCTTGGCCGGCCCCTTTTAAAAAAGCCTCGACCTGGCCCGGCTGGGCCTAGTTGGCCTCCTTTAAAGTCTATTAGTCATGGGTTTTTTGTCCGAAAAAGGCCCAACCCTCAGCAACCGGTTCGATAGACTATGACCCCCTCTGTATTGTTACGGGATCAGAACGCTGGGCCAAAGTCGAAGAAACCGACCTAGACTCCCCAAGATCGCCACAACCTCTGTCACCTCAACTAGTATCGCTAGATTTGGCAGTATCCATGTTCGGCCGCATCTACCACCTAGTACCCTCAAAGCACAAACTTCAACTTGTCAACCACTTTCCCGCTGTTCCAGAAGGTATGATTCCTTACCTTTAACATAAGCAGCGGCCGTTTCCTTGCGCTGAAACAGGCTGTTAACGGTCTGTAAAGCCTTGAATTGGACTTGGAAATGCTTCGACTTCAAGCACTTCTTCACGACTTCACAAATTCTGTAGAACAGCTGTAACCCAATCTCAAAGTTCTTCGGAGTTGAGGTGATGATCACACAGCTAGCCAGCATGATCACCGAGTCATCGACCTTGTGTTCCACATCGTCGCCCATCTTGAGAAGAGAGAGTAGAGCGCTTCTGACTATCGATGCCCATTGATCAAGCAGTGCTTCGTTGGTGGGTGGTTGCGATACCAACTGTTTTAGAGCTTTGATAGCTCCAGCCGCGCCTACTGTAAGATCGCCTGGGGTTATGTCATTGAATTCTGGATCTAGCCTCGAGCTCTCTCTCAAAATCGCCAAGATCAAGTAGAAGATCGAGGGTAGGACGACCAGACTGCCCCGTTCCGAGCTTAGACTAGGCACTTCGTTCAGAAGATCGATGGCTTTTTTGATCAACTCGGCCGATTCGTACGGTAGTCTACTGTACTTTCGATGGTGAATGGGTTGTCGACCTTTAGTCAGCTCCGAATTGATTTGTGGTATCTGTCTAACCAACACGCATAGACATACTTCGAGTGTGGCAAAGGTCAAGCTGGTGGTGTGTTTGATTTTGCCTGAGGCAGAGTCAAATCCATCAAAATATTCGTCCGAATTCTCTGGATTTTTCTCTTTCAAGGCTGATTGGGCTGCTTGGACTACTTTTTCAACCACATCCGTACAATGTTTTTGGACTGTTAGGCTGTCGCGGGTTAGGATTAGTCTGAAAATAAAAATTTCAATTTTTTAAAATTTAAAATTTTTGAGAAAGCGTGGCGTACCGTATTTGATCTAGCCCAAAATAAAAAAATTTGCCCCGCCCCGATATATTTCATCCAATTTTATGCTTAAAAAATAATTTTTAATTTTTACCCCTCCCAAAAATTTTTTTTATTTTTCTCTGCCCACGCTCTAAAAAACGTTTTTTTAGCTTGTTAAACACAAAAAAAATTTTGCACCGCCCATCCACATGCTAATAACAAAAATTTACCACACCCAACTCAAAATTTTTTTTAACCATGCCCGCTTCAAAAAAAATTATTACCCCTCCCAACAAAAAATATTTAAAAAAATTTTTTTACCCCGCCCTACCTACAAAACCTCTAAAAAGCTTGTCTCCCCTTCTCATTCCCTTACCTATTCTCACTTATCTAGCCTATATTATATCTTACCTATGAAGAACATTCATGACCTCGATCGACATTTTCACATCCTTCATGAACTCGAGCTGCGCCCAGGGTGAGTCGATTAGGTTCTTGAGAGTTTCCAGTCCCAAATAGATAGTCCGTTCGTTGTCACTGAACTGTCGAGTGTTACAGAGGGCTTCGACACACATTCCCAACATCAAATAGAACCGTTTTTCCTTCTTTTCCAATCCTAATAGAGGGTCACACTCGATCTTGGCATGGTCATTTTGTTTTAGCCAAATCGAGGAGGCTAGCAGGATTGGAGGCCAGCACTGACGATAGTATTCTTTGCAGGTCTGTAAAGTTTATACATATCATTTTGAAAAGATGTTATTATAAAAAATTTTTTTTTAAATTTTAAACGCTTGTAAAGAAAGTTCTTGCCATTTTTTTGTTTTGTAAAGAAAGTTTCCGCAATTTTTTGCTCTGTAAAGAAAGTTTTTGCAATTTTTGGTTTTGTAAAGAAAGTTCTTGCAGTTTTTTGTCTTGTAAAGAAAGTTCTTGCCATTTTTAGTTTTGTAAAGAAAGTTCTTGCAATTTTATGTTTTGTAAAGAAAGTTCTTGCAATTTTTTGTTTTGTAAAGAAAGTTCTTGCCATTTTTTGTTTTGTAAAGAAAGTTCTTGCAATTTTATGTTTTGTAAAGAAAGTCCTTGCCATTTTTTGTTTTGTAAAGAAAGTTCTTGCCATTTTAGGTTTTGTAAAGAAAGTTCTTGCCTTTTGTTTTGTAAAGAAAGTTCATGCCATTTTTACACTGTCTCCTAATCTGCCATTACATCCACCCCAGTCCTACGTTAATCAACCCTTACCTTCACCCCCCCGTCTTTCAAAAATCTACCCTTACCTCCACCCCCGCTCTGCCCTAAATCTATCCAGATCTCCACTAATCTACCCTTACCTCCACCCCTGCCTTCCACTAATCTACCCCTACCTCCAACCCTGCTCTGCCCTAAACATACCCTGGCCTGCACTGATCTACCCTTACCTTCACCCGTGATCTCCACTAATCTACCCACAACTCCTTTCCTGTCCGACAAAAACAACCCTTGCCTCTACCCGCGCCCTCCAAAAATCAAGCGTATCCTCCACTAATCAACCCTTACCTCGGCGCTATCAGGCGTGTAAAAGCTGCCTCCATTCGGTGGTAATTGATCTCCGAACTCGGCTGGCAAACTTAATAGAGCTGAATCCCTCAACGCTCCAAGCCAATGGCCCAGAAGGACTTGTAGCTCTGGATTGACCAAGCTTAGCAAGCTCTCTGTGCAATTCTCTTCCTTTTCTTGTTGTTCATCTTGAATGGCGACGATATATACTTCGGCCCATGCTTTGAGGATACTCAACTTCTCTAATGTGGCAGCTGATTCATTGAATAGCTGAGCATTCTCTGATCCATTCTTAAGTTTGTCCAAACTCGACACTAGTAGTTGATGTACTCTCCTCAAGTCGTTTAGATCCCTAGCTACACCTGAGCCAATCCAAGCTGAGCATACTTGACATGCGGCCGCTGTCACATGAGATGGAGTTTGGGCTTCAAAGGCTGGCCTGAGGGCCGCGCCGACTTGGGCTTGGAACTGTTCTAGGATCACGTGACCTGGGAACTCGGGTTCGGGTACCTTGGCAAATCGATCTATGACATCGTGTAGGCAGGCTAGGCCAGCTAGACGTAACTCGGAGATTTCGGAGGTTGCTCCCATGAATGACATACGAACAAGATCGGCCAGATGTAGTACTAGATAGTCTTGAGTGGAGCTTGGCTGAAGTTCTTTGGCTAGAGCGAGGTCAAGATGGGCTCTTTCCGTCTCGCATAGGCTCATGAGCTTTCGGACGATGGAAAAAGCGAACACTCTGGTTGGCCATCGTGGTGCCACTTTGTCTCTGACCTTGGTGTCGCCTAGTTGTACTCCTTGAAGTGTATCATCGTCATCTGCTACCACTTCTTCTCCTTTCTCCTTGCCATCTTCCTTTATAACCAAGGTAGATCGTACGTTCTCACTGTTACTCGACGCCAGAATGTCTTTGCACATCTGAAGCCAGAACTGAAGCATTTCACTAGCCGAATGTTGGACGAGGAAGAGGACGCATTCCATGATGTTATCACGTTGTTCTGGGTCGGATTCAATGTCGAGAAGGTCGAAGAGGGCTCCTTCTAGACCAGAGTCGGGTAGAGGGCAGTCTTTGAGCTTGGACTGGTCGATAATGCCGGCTGGGATGAGGCTTTGGGCTCGTTCTCTCACTTCTTTGGCTTCTCGTTGTAGTAGTTGCTTTAGGCAGTTGATGGCGGCTTTTCGGAGGATGAAGTGGGGAGAGTAGAGCTGGTGCTATAACAATATAATTTTTTGACTTTAAATTTTAAAATTTTTTCGAATTTCAAAAATTTTTATGATTTCAAAATTTTTTTTTTAATTAAAAAAAATTTAAATTTCGAAAAATTAAAAAATTTCAAAAACCCACACAAATCGTTCCGACCAGTCGATCTAGCTCCACAAATCTCGGCGCAAACAGATGAAGTTGTTGTTGACAAGCAATGGCCTCAGCCTTGATCTGAGCATCCGAATGTTCGAACATCATTGAGCACGCCACAATGAACGAAGACCTCATCTTCTCCATGCTCGCGTCTGTCGATGTTAGCTCGGGTCCAACTGCTGTGATTAACGTTGACACAAGCTTTCCGATGCATTGAATGACTTCAACGTTGGTTTGTGGAGTTGTTAAGAGAAGGCGGATACACATGGCTAGACTTGGCTCCACGTAGCCGCGGAACATACCACCACCAGTGGAGGCGATTAGGGAGAGCGATAGGAGGGCCCAGGCCTGAAATTGATGGTTTTTATGAGATTCTTAGGTTTTAAAAGCTACATTAGACCAATTTGGAAAAAAAATTTTTAGTCCAAAAAATGCACCCCCCCCAAAAAAAAATTTTTATTAAAATTAAACCTAATCCTTCCATGAAAAAAATTCATTTTTTTTCACCTAAAACCCACTCTCCCACCCTAAAAAAATTTTTACCACGCCCTTCAAAAATCCCAAAATCATCCCCAATAATCACACTAAAGACCACACCTACCCTGCTAGTAATCGACGAATGATCTTGGGCCAAGCTCAACACCAGGCTGACAGCCGTGTGTAGATGATGTCCACTACCCAATGAGCCAACATATCTATGCAACGCTCCCAATGACAATGCTAAGCCTGACCTGCTTTTCTCATCTTTCATAGCCTGAAGATCGTTGAAACTAGACTGTGCCAAGCCTGCAAAGAATTTTGGCTCTGATATGGCTTGTGACATTCGGCCCAACGCTTCTATAGCCAAACAACGTTGTAGTGGGTTGTCAGCGGTGACGAACTGCCTCAACAGTTTCACCGTTTGATCCTGGTGTTCCGTGCCTTGTGGTCGATAATTCCGTAGCTCAGACATTGCCTTCATACCGGATAGCAGGGCTCCGAGTATATTCAATTGAATCGCCTGTAAGCGTGGGGTTTGTCTTAGATTGGCCATGCAATTGATAAAATGATTGGTGAGTTGAAGTTTGTGCCTTGAGGGTACTAGCGGGTAGATTCGACCAAACATGGATACTGCTGCGTCTAGCGATACTAGTTGGGGTGGCAGGGGTTGTGGCCATCTTGGGGAGTCTAGTTCGGCTTCTTCTTGAGCTTTGGCCCAGCTTTCTGATCCCATAACAATGCAGAGGGGGTCATAGTCGATGGAGCCGGTTGCTGAGGTTTGGGCTGGATGGAGCTGGAAATATATATATATATATATATTACAGTACATTAACTATAAAGCATTTTGATGTATTCGAACATTATCTTTATGACATTGCTCATCTATTAAAGCTTTAAAAAAGTCTTGTCGTTTTGGGGCATGAAAAACCAAGCAAAATAACGACAAAACTTTTTTTTCATTATAGAAACTTTTTAAAAAACTATTTTTTCCCCAAAATCCAAAAATATCGGACGAAACTAGCAGTATAAGCTCAATGAGATAGCAGGACCGTGGCGTCGTCACTATGTTCTTGCCTTCAAGAAATCCGTCGTATGTCTATTCGTCTCCCACGAGGGGATTTCGGAGACATAACGGAGCAAGACAGGCGTGCGGACTCGAACTTGCCCAGCTTCGAGCCAAAAGCGAGTGCACTCGCTATGAGCTACGCGAACACGGGCTCTTCTCTCTTGTTTTAGGTCTTTGTTTCGTGGTTTAAGTCGCTTACCGGGCTTTTTAATTTAAAACAAGGCACAGGAACGTATTTTACATACTTTTGAATAGATTTCTAAATTTTTAAGTCCGATCTTATATTAAAATAAAAATTTTATAGTGTTTTCAACCCTTTTTCCTCAATTTTAATTAAAAATTAAGTTTAAACTAACGTTATTTTAGTTTTTTTAAAGAAATAAAAGATTCAGTAAGCGTATTTTACATAATCTTGAACAGATTTTGAATTTTTAAGGCCGATTTTATATTAAAATAAAGATTTTATAGTAATGTTATAGTGTTTTCAAACATTTTCCCTCAATTTTTATTTAAAAAAAGTTTAAACTAACGTAATTTTAGCCTTCTTAATGAAATAAAAGATTTAGTGAGCGTATTTTACATTATTGTTAATAAAACTTAAACTCCTAGACCTTATTCTATATAAAAATAAGGTTTTACTACACTTTCGAACCCTTTTTTCCTGATTTTTACCTAATTTTCCTTCAAAAACTTCAAAATTTCCTTCATTTTCTCCTCAAAATCCTTCACCAACATCCATATCATTACCTATAAGTCCCCAACAGCCCTATCATTACCTGTGTATCACCAACAACCCTACCCGTATCTGTAGCTCATCAACAGCCCCGTCGTTACCCGTTACTCCCCAACACCCATGCCCTTACCTGTAGTTCAAGTTCAGCATGTGTAGAGTTCCTCAACCATCCACCCAGTAGACAATCATGAACTGCCGTGCACTTATCAGCCAGATCCGAGACGGCGGTAATTGCTTGAGCGTTATCACTTAACGTGATATCGGCCACAAGCTCTCTCAACAACGAATTGAATAGATGTTCGTATGTTTTGAAAGACAAAAACTTTAGTAGGCTGTATAATCGTATTCTGACTAGATAGATCGGGGTTCTTAAACGTACTCCATGTGATCCTAGAAGGTCGGTGACTAATGCCATGGTTGTTAAGGTTGTTTCTACGCAGTGGACGATCCGTTTCGTGATATCTTCAGTTAACAAGTCTTGACAATGTACTACAAAAGCTTCCATTGATGCTAGAGCCCCAGCCCTTGATTCTAGGATGCATTCCCATATAAAGGTATCCCCTCGGCCCTTCTCTCCTTTCGCCTCTTCAACACTTCGTGGGAAGGAGCACTTCCACAACATGATCAGTCGATTCAAATTATGTTTGATGTAGGGTGTTCCCATGCTGATCAGAGCTGTGGTTAGTAGCCAGCCGGCCTGAGTTTTGTCCAGGGCCAATTTCGAGGATTGGGCCGCGGTTTTGATCAGGTCTTCGGCCGTTTGGAAGACGATTTTCACTTTTTGAAATGGAATTCCTAGTTCCGTGTGAAGACTGCCAGCACACAGTGCTCCGATGCATGCTGAATAGCCTGATACAGCTATGGATGAGTTGCGTAGATGTTCGAGACGAGCTAGGCATCGATCAATGAGAGGAGTGGCTAAGTGAGGAACAGCTTTGACTGCTGTCCGAAGGCAAAAGGCGGCTGATAGGCGGACAATCTGAAATGGAATTGTGTGTTTGAAGCTAGAACCATAATGGAAAGCCTAGTTTTTAAATTTTAGGTATTAAAAAATAGTATTTTATGCCCATAAATGGCGTTTTTAGTTCAAAAAATAATCTTTAAGCCCAAAAAATTATGGGCTTAAACCTAAAATATTGAAGTGTTGGCCTAAAAATGTCTTAAAAATAATTTTTTTTCCGAAAAACTAGCCTTAAAAGGATGTAAAAGGCATCCGAAGATGTTTTCCTGAATCCCATTGGCTTCTGTTAAGGCTCCAGCTATGGCCGTATCTACTTGTTGTATTAGAGCTGACATTTCCAATAATATCACAGTTGAAACAATAGCTATAGCTGTACCGTCCTCTTTTAGGACCTTTTCTTCGTCATCTGGAATCTCTAAAACAAAAATTTTAAAAAATTTTTTAAATTAAATTTGAATTAAAAAAGGTAAAATACGGAGTTCAAAATCCGGATTAGGTCTAACGTACCAAAATTCCACATAAAGGTATATTTATATGCCAAAAAATGTCATTTTTTCCAAAAAAAATTTAAATTTTAAAAATCATCGTAAATATCACACGTCCCTTATGCCCAAACCTACCCAAAAACTTGTTGTATTCGTTCAAAAGCTGTCCGAAATTTTTGCAAGCAGTTATTTGTCCGCTTTCGGACAACATTGAGCCCAGGGTTTGGCGGAAAATGTAGGATACACACTTGCGCATATGGACGGCTTCTGACGATTGTGCGTGGTTACTGTAACATGGAAAATAACAAAAATTATTTTGGTAATATTATATTACCTATTTTTCTACAATTTTCCTTATTTTGATCTTAAATTTCGATGATAATAGTTTTAAAATTATTTATCGTATAACTTGTCAGCCGCAACCTGCAGAATGTTTTTGCGAGCTGCGACCGATAAAAACGCAAAAATATGACAAAAAATCAGTTTATTGAACCTATCACTACAATATTAAAATACTTTATATATCATTTCATAAAATTTTACATTTTTCAAAATTTGTTACCTAAAATTATGAAATTTCAACAAAAAGTTTCAAATTTTGCAAAATTTACTTCAAAATTAGCTTTAAAATTTCAAGATTAAGTTAAAGTTTACACCTAAAATTTTAAACTTAACTGAAAGTGTTACCTAAAAATTAACAAAATCCAAAAAATTAAAAATATTACCTTAAATAATCAAAATAGGTCAAAAAACCCAAAACTCACGTATTACTAGCGACAGGTCCAATCTTATAGGCCATTTGTAGAATATGTTTTTGCCAAAACATTAGATTCCTCTCCAGCCAATTGGTTCCCAGCTCGCGACACACTTCAACATAAGCCAATGTCACTCCGACTCTAATCTGACGTTGACCAGTGGACGAGCTGTTACCGGTCTTCAGGAATCCCCCAATGCCACCTCTAATGAAGCCGTTACTCAAAAAGTTCAGGACTTCTTCAAAAGTCATCTGTTTTGGCTGGGATTGGGCGGTTTTGTCTGAAAATGGCAGTGAAATTCTTGTTTTTAATGAAAAAGTTGATATAAGCCTTGTTTTTAATGAAAATTGGATACAATTCTCCTTTCCCATGTAAATTTAAAGATTCTCCATTTCAAATAATACCTAAAAATCGAAAAATAAATAAAAACTTACCCTGTAGCATCCGTTGCGGCTTCTTCCCAACAGTATAATCAGCAATTTGAGCGAAAACCTTGGCCACTTCTGATCGAACTTCGAAATTGGCTTCATCCAGACTTTTCAAGGTGACGGTCAACACGGAATCCACATCAGAATTGTAAATTGGAGACGTTTGATCCGATACCAAGCCGCTTAGGCACTGAAATCCAAAAATTTTCCTAGTTATAGAAAAAACCCTAAAAACAAGAGCTTCAATAGGCTCGGTACAATAACATCAAAAATCGACTAAAACCATAAAAAGTCATTTATAAAAAACCGACCAAAACTTCCACAGGGAAAGCATGGATATTTACCCTACTTTTCAGTCAATAATGGTCAAAATCACAAAAACTTACTTTAACAGCAGCTACTCTGACAAACATAACACGATCGGTCAAGTATCCTTTCGTAAGTAACTTGTACAAGTCCTTGTGTATTGAATGTGCTGATGGCCCCAACCCATAGACCATCTTTGACAAGGTTAATAGAATTTCAGTTCGACTAGCTGACTAAAATTTACGATTTTATCAAAATTTATATTATACTTGATATCAGCTAATTCAATGAGTAGAAAGTAATGTTTTACCATTCATTTTAGTGTAAGTAACAACTTAAAGATCAAGACAAAACGATTTTGCTACTTCTGTAGTAAACACAAAAGGATAAAGTTAAAAAGCAATACCAAAACTAGTAGTTTTCGATATTACACTATCTAACTCAACTTACATCAGCACTTTTTATCCATTTAGCTAATAATCCAAACGATTCTTCATAAGATCGTCCCACCATTTTGCCCAAACTCGTATAGAACTGGCCAAGAACGGCCAATGCGGTAAGTTTAACTTGTAGTTGAGCATTAGAATCGTCTTTTACCTTAAAGGTATCGTTACATAAGTTGATTGTTTGAAAGAGATCATAAGAGTCGGCAATGGAGAATACTTGAGTAAGACATTTGGCCAATAATGACCGTGTTGGAGGCCCTAAACCGGTCGATATTCGCTGAGTCAATAGTTCGACCAGCTTTTGTTGAACTGATTTTAAATCGGCCTATAACAATATAAGTTAAGATTATGATACTGTAAGATCTTCTAGATCAAAACTTGATTGTACAGCAAGCTGCTCAATCATCTCACCTATCTAAATTCAGAAAAGAATTAACAAAAACACATACCTTTTGAGTTACAGGCAAGATTTTGTCCAAGTACCTTAGCCATTCGTAGAAGAAGATGGGTTTATTTTGATCAGGACATTCTTTTAAGGCTTGTTCATTAAGTAATAAACTATTAGACTGTTCCATTATACTTTACTCTTCAAATATAGCACCTTGGTTTATGGTTTCATTAAGAAATGAGCTGAAAATATTAAGTTAAACATCTGATATACCTAAAAGAACATAACTAGCTAAAATAGAAGCTACCGCTCGATTTTTTTATAAATAGCTAAAGAAAACAAAACGATTTAAGTATTAAAAGATCAGAAGCAACATTCAAAAAGTAAACATCAAAAAGCCATTAAACTCTTCTTTTTTTAATCAGTTTCAAGCGTGTCATAGACAATACAAATAGATGTTTCAACGTTAAAACGTCAATTTAACGTAACTTTATAATTAGAAAACTAAAGAAGAAACTCTCAAGAAACTTTTAAACCATTCATTCCGCCCAAAACTTTATTTCCCAACAAAGGTCAAGCTCCCCAACTGACCAACCCATTATATTCACCATGCGTCATTGCTCATTCACGTAAACCCCATCAAGAAGCCCGCCCGAATTGATATAAAAGAATTCCAAATTGATATAAAAACATTCCCAAACCGTCTTTTCGTAAAATTTTTGGAGGCGAGAAAAGCCCGAGGACTCTCGACGAGAAAGAAAGGCGCTCAAGCGCGCAAAAGCCACCGAATCTCTTCGTTTTTCGTGTTGTTCGCGCAAAACTTGGCCAAAATAATTGGATTCAAGTGCCCCACAATCTAATCGAGTTGTATTTCACAGTTCAACAGTCATATTGAGTGAGAATCTATGGATTTTGGCCAAATATTGAGGACAAAGCGGAAAACAAAGAGAATTTACGTCGAATCCATAAAAGAGGAAGACTTTTTAATAATGCATATAATTTGACGTTTTTTGTCCATAATAAGGTTGTAATTGGTTTGCCTCGGTTCAAATCGTTTTATCTCGTTGTAAAGACAAAAAATGGGGTTTAAAAATAGAAAATTAAACGTCTTTCAAATTTTACAAAGTTAAACTTTCAATTTCCAGCCTTTAAACCCCTCTTTTTAATTAAAAACCTCAAAAAACCGAGTTGAAATTATATTACACTAGACAAAAGTTGGCCGCCAAAGGTCGAATTGAATAGGCTGGCCAACTACACAAACAAAAAACTGTTTTTAAACCCATTCATGAGATTCACACAACAAAAAACTGTTGAGAGTTACGCGCAAACTCGAGTGGGAAAGATGGATGGCCTGATAAGAACGTAATTGGGCTCTTAATTGCTCTGTTTAAAGTGTTGTGGGAGCTTTATATAGACAGGCTTACACTTTATTGTGGTTCTAACTTCAAGGTGATTAAAATGCGAAGCTAAGAAAGGCATTTTAGGATCAATAGGAATAGTTTTGAGTGACAAATGATGAAAAAAGTGAGCTAGGTGCCAAGGATAATATAAATAATGGTCGGTAGGTGTTGTATTCGTGCCGTAATTTATCTCATTGCTAGAGTAGGGAAAGATATGATTAAGGTAAGGCTAGAAAAGACTTGGGCAAGGATATTGAAGATCTAGTTTAAAGCTACGGCTAGCGAAAGCTAGGTATAGGCCTACCACTAGATGAAAGCTAGAAAAATTTTAAAGTTGGAATTTAATTTTAAAAATTTAGATTTTTAAGCACTTTTCAACTCTCCCCTACGAAAACAAAAGGCCGTTCGTGTAACAAAAGCGATAAAATTTTTAAAAAACATCAAAATTTTATGTTATACGTCTGACCAGATGGGCTTTCGCTTCGATCTTTTACCTATAACAGTATTCTTTCCTGACCACAACACCTGGCGGTTCGTTTTTTGTCTATTCGAACCAGTATTTTTCATTATTTAATCCGGCATTTGAAAGGGAACAATATTATGGGGGTGTCAGAAAAAGTCTTGTCGTGAATTTACATGTATTTAAAGGGTGAAAAAAAACAAGACTTTTTTAAACTCTTTAATGCAAAAGGATACGGTAGAATAACACATGTTGAGCAGAATAGGGTAGGACAAGACACGGTAAGATAGGGTAGGGTACTATAAGGCATGGCAGGGCAGGACAGAGACTGAGCAGGGCAGGGAAGGGCATTGCAGGACAGGGCAAAGGCAAGGCACGGCGGATCAAGACATAATAGAATACGGAACTAGGGCTAGTGCTGTATCGAAGATATTAACGTACTAAAAAGTAAAAAACGAGTAATCTGCCGTTTTGTATAATAAATAATGCTTCGCATCAATATTAAGACAGACTACTATATTAAATATACATACATATCATAATAATTCTCCCACTACATGGTCTGTTTATCCTTGTCGAATAATAAATTTAAGCAAATAAAAAATTCTTTTATACTAATTACCCTGCCTCAGGAATCAACTCAGAATGCTTACCCTGCACCAAAAATGACATTATACTACTTACCCTGTCCCAAAAATCACCTTGTACTACTTACCCTGTCCTCAAAAATCATCTTTTACTACTCGCCCTGCCCCAAAAATCACCTTGTACTACTTACCCTGCCCTCAAAAATCATCTTTTACTACTCGCCCTGCCCCAAAAATCACCTTGTACTATTTACTATACCCCGAAATCATCAACCACTCTCTGTTTTCCAATCCACAAACTCAAACCCTCTCCCCAATGAAGCCTAATTTCGTTTATAACCCATTTAGCCGCAACCGTTCCGGGAAGCGCAGTAAAACCCAAAAGCGAACTTGGAATAACAAGAAATCGAGACGTTCATCTCCGCCGGGCCCCCGCCCCAAATAGGACTCAAAAAACATTTCGGCCAATTTTGCAAAAAACGGCCCAAAAAGACTTAAGAAATGAAATGCGATTCCCGTTTAAGTCATTTTTTAAACAGTCTACACTCCGAATGCTACACTTGAAGGGGGCTATGTTCGTAGAAGACATGCTATACTTAAAGGACGTATATGTATTTTAAAAGGCGTGTTATACTAAAACTGTGTATATAAGAGGACATGCTATACTCTTCTTAAAGGACAATATATTTACAAAAACACGTTATGCTAGAAGCAGGGCCAGGCGCTGGGGCGGGGGGGGTGGACGAGGAGGGAAGCCCTGGATGTTACAATTGTTGGTCTATGTCATGTTACAATTGCAGCTGAATGCTCTTATGTACTACAATTTAAAGAAAAAAGACTAAAGAAGAATAAGGTCCAGCTCTCTTTAAATGCTACATGAAGAGCTCTGCGTTCAGAATAAGAAATTCAATTGTATAGTTTATGCTAATGGCAAACTTCTTCCTGTTTTTTTTTGAGCTGAATAGTAAGAAAAAACCAAAAGTTAAGAATCTACGCAACTGTTCATGCTCTTTCACAAATAGGTCTCAGTTTTAGGTCCGATACCCCCTATTTGCCTTTCCTTTGTAAGGAGTAGAGCAGGGTAAGACTATAGTAAAGGAGTGGAAAGTCAAGGTAAGGCTAGGAAATGAGAAGTGTACTGCAAGAGTCAGATAGAGTAAGCAACGAGTTCTGGATATAGAAACAGTAAGTAAAATGTCATATTATAAAGAATCATACTAAAGAAGTTCTATGTACTATATATAGCACGATACTAAAAACAAAAAAAGTCATAAACAATTTAAAAAAAATAATAAAAAACCTGCTTTTTTTCAAAGAAACAATAAATAACGAACTAAACCAATAAAAAATAATTATCAGTCCAGCCTGTCGACTGGACTCCCAAAAATTGATAGAACTCATAAGCGAGCCCATGCACGGAAATCTTTAGTAAAAGGCGAAAGATTTATCCGTTTGAGGATGCATGGACCCCAGAGATACCTCCAATTTCTCTTTTCCGCCCTTCCTTTCGCTGCTCACTTGTCTTTTGATTGGGTTTGACCGGGGCGCGAGGGAAAAGAGAGCGAATTGGAGTGGTAGAGAGAGAAAGAAAACTTTGCGAAAGATGCAGACGGCCGTATTTTACCTAAAAATGTAAATTTCACAACCGTTTGGACTAAAAAAGGTTGAAAATGGAGGCAAAGTAACATATTAGGTATCATAAATACCAGTATCTTCATCAACTGGGCAGCTTATAAATGCCATTTTTAAATATAAAAACCTCAAAAAGTTTAAAAACTGAAAAATAGGTAATAAATTGCTCTTACCTACTAAATATCATGGGTATTGATCTATAACAACAGCTTTTAAACTAACAAAACCAATTAAAAACGTTTTTTTTTATCAAAAAGAGCTAACCTTTTGGGTAAACAAAAACAATTAGCTATTTTAAACGCTTCTAGTTATGTTGATTGTTATTGAAAAAGAGGTGGAGTAACTCAAAATAAGGTTGTTTTTACTGAGTAACACAGATTATAAGCCCTAGCCCAGAGCCCTAGCCCAGAGCCTTAGCTCAGAGGCCTAGCCCAGAGCCCTAGCCCAGAGCCCTAGCTCAGAACCCTAGCCCAGAGCCCTAGCATAGAGCCCTAGCCCAGAGCCCTAGCCCAGAGCTCTAGTCCAAGCCCAGAATCCTAGCCCTAGCCTTAGCCCTAGCCCAGAGCCAGAGCTCTAGTCCAACACCTTAGTTCACATCCTAGAGCTAGCGATTTAAATTTTGCTCAGGCCCAGCCAGACCTAAATTCGGATCAAGGCCGGCCCGTTTCTCGGGTCTACTCAGGACCTTACCCCAAAACCCTAGCCCTAGCTTTATTCCTCGACCTACTCCGACCCCTTTTCTTAATCTATCATACTGGGCTCGGCCTATTCTTTTCTATCTTACCCAACCCTTTCATACTCTACCATACAATATCAAACTCTATCTTATTACACCCTACCTTACCACACCCTTCCCTACCCTTCATTTTACCAAAGTGTCAAAAAAGTACGTTAACAACTCAATTTGTCCAATATTTCAAACAATTTCAAGCGAAACTCCCTTTTGAATCGTGGCCAACGGCTTTCTCCTGACCAAATGTCCCAATCCGTTACAAATGACCCATCAAAACAAAAGGAAAAGGTAAAATTTATGTGAGGTTGAGTTGCAAGGAAACGGCTCGTTAATAGCGGTGTTTTTAGTCTCCCCTAAGAAGACGGCTTGAAACTTTTTTTATAGATTTCTTATCCTGCCCAACCCAACTCGGCCCTGCCCTGCCCTACCCATGCCTTGTCTTACCTTGCCCTGTTTTAATCTACCTTGCCCTGCTCTGCCGTGCCATTTCTTTTGTTGCCCCGTCCTGCTCTGCCCTGCTCAGTTTTTGTGCTACCCCGCCATTGCACTGCCGTGCCATGCCTTACAGTACTCTACGCTACCTTAACGTGTCCTGCCCTGCCTTTACCTACCCTATCTTACAGTGTCCTACTCTACCATACCGTGTTTTGTCCTACCCAAAAAAAATGTTGTCGTTTTTGTACCTTCAAATACACATAAAACGACGACACAACTTTTTTTACCGCAAAACTTCAAAAATTTCAAATTTATGTGTTTATTATCACATTGTAAACATGTTTTAAAAGCGGATTATTATTACAATTATTACTGATGGCACTGGGTACGAGAATTTTATAAGTATTTTCAGTTTGGCGAGAGATACAGTCATTCGGAGAGATTCCAGAGAAACGAAACGACAAAACTTTTATTGAAGTATTGAGAACCCATTTTCAATGAGAAATTAGCATATTATGAATAGTATTTGAAGAAAACACAAAAAAATTTTTAAAAAAATTTTAAAAAATTGAGTATAGCTCATGCTACAGTAGGATATCAGAGAGTTACTGTACTTTATGTACAAAGTTGAATTAAAAAAAGAACAAAGATAAAAATCAAGTAAAGTTAGCTTAATTTAAAAAAATTAAATGTAAAATACGAATAAAAATAATTAAAAACAGAAAAAATTCCGTTAAATTATATTATACTACCTGAGTTAATCAAAGACAACATCGTGTGTCATATTGTAATTGAAATAAGATTTCTACAATTTTCAAATGGTCAATAATAACTTTTCTAATATCTATCAAGTGATAATATATCAGTTCCTATCAAAAAAGTTTGAGAAGTAAGGGCGCAGCTCAGGAAACATGGCTTGCAGGCTGTGGAGACATGTTATACGACAAATCGCTTTTTGATCAAATAGCAAAACAATTATTCAAATCTAAAAAACGTTTCAACAAATGATTTTAAATTTAAAATTAAAAAATAATTTTTTAAGTCCGAGACGCAGGACGCAGAAGACAAGTTATACGATGAACAACGAAAAGCTCTATAACATTGTAAAATACGGTGGCACCAAAAAAAATTGAATTTAAAATCCTTTTTACTGTTTTAAAACCATAAAATGCAATTTTAAGTTCAATTTTTCCATTTTTATTTATTCATCGTATAACATGTCACCCGCAGCCTGCAGAGCCTATTTTTGCGTATAACATGTCTCCAAAGCATAAAAATCGTGTATTGAGCCGTATGTAAGCCTATTGAAGAATTTTTAAATTAAGAATAAAAATTTTCAAAAATTTCAAAATTTCAAAAAATCGAATTTTAAAATAAAAAAAAATTTTTTCGAAATTTAAAAAAAAATTCAAATGTTGAATTTCAAAACAATAAAAAGCTAAAAATTTTCATTTCCGTTTAGCCTTTGGAATATTCCTAAAGTTATCAGGCACTTCGCCCAAAATGGAATGCCATGTGCCAATCGGCCTCAGGGCAGCATCGAAACATTGCATTCCAATTGGATTGCCATTCGATCCCAGACTGGCTACCGAGTATTTGCCTCGCAGTTCACGTAGACTCATGCCATTCGGCTCTAACTCGGTTTGGCCGTTCTCTTTGATCGTGCCATTTTCCGGATCATAACTGTCTAGTGGGAGCCGGTTGTCAATTGCCAGCCGGCTGTCTAGTGGAAGACGGGTTTCGCCATTGGTTAGGGTTTGAAGCTGTTCTGAACTTGCAGCCTGAGGGAGATTGTTGCCATAGACTAACGTGAAACACTGCATCCATTGAGTTCGGCCCTCGGGCGTTGGGGATTCATTGCCAAGTACACAACAGCCAAGAAGATCGTCGCGGCCAATTCTGAAGGTGAAATAGAATACAGTAAGATAGAAAATAGTATTATATAATAAGGAAAGTAAGACTACGGTAAAGTGAAGCAGGAAAAGGTAAAATAAAGTAGCTCAAAGTAGGGCATGGTAAAATATGGCAGAATAAGCTAAAGCAGAGTAAAGCTTGGTAGGGTCAATAGGCCAATGTATTAAATGCCGACATAAAGAACCCGCCATTTTTTTACAGGAAATTACAGGTAAAGTATGGCGGGTTCTTCATGTCGGCATATGAAAAATATTGTTCTTACCGATCCCAATCCATGACCTGAACCAATATATTCGTATCCCTGATCTGACTCACTGGCAGATCAAACTCGAGACATTCGTGATAAACCGGATTCAAATTGGCACGTTTAATTGAGGTTTTGCGCATTTTTACCCGTTTTTTCTGATAAATTTGTTCACATTTCACGTAGGGATCTAAAAATTTTAAATTTCAAAAGTTCAAAAATTAAAAAAAAATAAATGAAAAATTTTGAAAATTGAAAACAATTTAAATTGAAAATTTTTAAAAATTCCGAAAATTTAAAAAAATTTCGAAATTTAAAAAAATTTCGAATTTTCAAAAAAAATTAACTAAAAAGCCAAGCTCAACCTACCAGAAGCACCAGTAATGTCCATTGGCCGCAAGTTGTAGGCTTTGGCCACGGTGAGGTACAATTTACATAAATCGGCCGAATAGGCCAAGTATAAGAGAAGGTCGCCAAAGTCGTTCTTTTCCTAAAAACGGTCGATATTTTGGTAAAATACGTGTTGTTCAAATAAGAAACATAAAAATTTAAAAAATTGGAATAAAGGTAGAGCTAGGAGTAGGGTAGGGGTAGAATTTCAAAAAATTAAAAAAATTTAAAAAAAAATTTTTTTTCCAAAAAAGTTCAATTTCGTTTAACGTATTCTTAAAAATGCCAATTCCTACCTGACTCCCGACGATTGGCATGGTGAACTCCGTCCAATTGTAGAGATCGGACTTTTCGAAGAGATCTCTCATTATGACATTCCCAATCAACCCGTGTCGTGTGAAACGATCGAAATCGTATACAGTAAACTGAAAAGTAAAGTTATCTACCGTACCCTACTTGTCTCTTATTTATTAAAAAAGGCCTAAAATTAAGCGGTTTGCACAGTGCACTAGTTTAAAAAACTGCACTGTGCAGTCAACTTAATGCCATTGTTTTTATGCAAAATTTGAAATTTAGGTATAAAACATTTGCTCAAAATCTGAGAAAAAAACAATTTCAATTTGATTTCAGATGTCAAAAAAAAGATGTCATAATCCGCACAGTGCACATTTAATAAATTTAAAAAAAACTGCACCGGGCAGTGAATTCAATGCCATTTTATAAGACTCAAAAAGTAAGGTAAAACCAAAAACCTAATAAAAAATATTGTAAAATACGCTGTTTGAACTAATCTTTTAAACAAAAAAAATTGTCATTTCAAAAATGTTTTGTCAATTTTTGAAAACTGCACCGTGCAACCCAATTTAACGCCATTTTATACTAATGAAAGTGCAGTAAAAACAAAAACCAAATAATCGACATTGTCAAATACGACATTTATTCCTATCAGTCAGCCAAACTTTTTTTTCATAATTACCTCGAAAATGTTTTGTCACTTTGAAAAAAACTGCACCGTGCAATAAAAAAAGCTTAAAAAATGACGAAAAAAGTAAAACTGTTGTCAAATTTAAACAAATTTAATTAAAAAACATACTTGTAGCATTCTGTGAGCAAGTTCGTTGTAGGGAATATCGAAAGAGAACATTTCGTTGAACTCCGGATCCACCGACTTTTTCAAAATACTCGTTTTCCAGTGGTTGCGGCGCTCCGGCAGACAGTACATTTTCACGTATGGGTCTGGAGGGCCATCCTGAAAATTTTTTAAAGTTAATTTTCATTTTTTCTTTTAAATTTCAATTTAAATTTGATTTTAAAACTGGCATCTTTTGGACACGTTTCGTCGTATAAAATGTCCCCATATATCAAATAAAACACCTTTCATTGTATAACTTTTCACTACAAACCATAAAAACACAACTTTCGTCGTATAACATGTCCCCATATGTTTAAAAATGTAAAATACGATTGATAAAGCAACGCACAATGTAAAATAAAAAACTTACAGTGCCCGGTAGATTGTTGGCCCTCCGTACATGTAGCATTAGTACCCGATGTATAAAGTCATAGCGTAGTTGATAGGTTAAGGTGCCTCGAAAACAGGAAGATATGGCCGTTTTATCGGCCAAATTGGGCTCGAATCGACAGACGGCTTCGTCGGAGAACTGAAAAAAGTGCAGTAATATTAGGAATTTAAAGCTACAGTAAATTGAAAAAGCCTAGTAAGGCGGAGGAGGGGGGGGGGATGATGTAGGGTAAGTCAGGGTAGGAGAAGGTAAAGCAAGGTGATAGAGTATATAAGGTAAAACACGTTAGGTAGGGTACTATAAAGTAAGATAGAGTACAGTACAGTAGGATACTGTAAAGTAAAGTAAAGGTATGATAGAGTAGGATAGAGTAAAGTGGAGTAAAGTATAGTATAGTAAAGTAGGAGAAGGTAGATTACGGTATGGTATCGGTATGGTAGGACAAAATAAAGTAAGGTAGATTACGGTAAGGAACGGTAGGGCAATATAAGGTAAGGTAGAGTAATAATAAGACAGGATAGGGTAGGATAGGGTAGGGTAAGGTAGGGTAGGGTAGGGTAGGGTAGGGTAGGGTAGGACAGGGTAGGATAGGGTAGAGTAGGGTAGAGTAGGGTAAGGTAGAGGAAGGTAGAAAAGGGTAGAGTTAGGTAGGGCAGGTTCATACGCCTACTGTAACATAAAACCTCCAAAACTCCCAAAAAACCCACCGTAACCCCGTCCTCGAACCGCACCTTCTCTGTCTTCCGACTGTTCTCCATGGATATGTTACCCATGATCAGGTCATTCGAAGCGTGCGGCGGCTCCACGCCCGGCAAGAACTGTTGTTGGAGGCGGCCGAGGAAGCGTTGCCGTTCAATCACTTGCTGTGCCTTGTAACGCCCGGCCAGGCGATGCCAAAACCGCCACTCCGATGGGCGGGCACAGTCGCCGGACTGCGTGCACGCTTCGTCCGGATGCCCCGACGACGAAGCGAAAAACGTGTGCGTTGAGCTGAAATTTCGAAGGTATTGGTTTTAAATTATTGAAATTTGCATAAAAAACGTTAGCAATACAAAAGACAGACCCATGGTTAAATATTGATTTATCCCCCCCCCAAAAAATTTTTACCCCGCCCAACTTTTTTTTCAAATGTGTAAATATATGGTTCGTAATCATAAAAAATATAAATTTCCATTTTTACCCTCCCCCCTCTAAAATTTTTTTACCCCGCCCAAAATTTAAAAAATTTTCGCAAAAAATCGGCACAATGCCGATTTTTTGGACCCCTGCCCCCAGACCAAAAGTCCCCGCCCGGCCCTGGCCCTCACAAAAAAAATTTTTTTACCCCGCCCAATTTTTTTTTAATTATGAGTGCGTAACCCTTCTAACAATTTTAAAACCTATTTTTCATTTCTTACTTCCAAACACGCCTTCCATTTTAAAAAAGATTTTACCATACCCTTAAAAAACTGATTTGCCTCCCGCCGCCCCTTCCATTTATTAGGTGCCGACATAAAGGACCCGCCATACCTTGCCTGTAATTTTTTGTAAAAAATGGCGGGTTCTTTATGTCGACACATAATAAATTACAAAAATTAAAAGAAAATATGATATCGCCAATCCTAACACTCCAGTAACCACTCGCTAGTCTAAACATAGTCCAAAGTAAAGGCTTGACAATTAGAAACCGGCTAACAATAGGCTTGTAATCGAGTTTTTCTTTTCTTCAAAACATCAAACAAAAGAGGTTTGTTTGATTTTGAAAATAAATAGTACTTTAATGCAATCAGACTTGGTATTATACTATCATTTCGAAATTTAGGGCAATAGGTCAGTGTTTGGATGTTTGGTCAAGTTAGTAAATGTACTAAGAGTTATAGTACTGACAAAAATAATTTTTTGGTAAAAATCCTTTAAAACTTTGTTTTACTATAACAAGAGTTAGCTTATGACAACTAGACCTGAAAAAAGGCACACCAGTCCAAGCCGAAGCAAATTTGAAAAAGGCCGAGCCAGCCGGCATAAGTGGGCCAAAAAAAAGACTCAAAATAAGTCCCCTTCGGCCCAGCTTAGGTCCCGCAACGAAAGATTTGATTTGCGAAAAGTAAAAACTTAAGTAAAGAGCCTGCCCGAGCCGAAGTAGACATCAGAAACAGGCCGGGCCCGACCCATTTTTCTGGCGCGGTCCAATCGAAATTTTGCCCAAGGCCGGCCCGGTAAATTTGAAAGATGCCGGGCTAAATCGTGCGGGCTCAAGGGCAGAGATTTTGACCTAAAAAGCGTAAAAATTTATATTAAGCCAGGCCAGACCAGGCCAGGGCAAATTAAAAAAAAAACCAGTCTGGCATATGTGGGCTCGAAAGCCAGGGCTCAAAACAAAGCCCGGCCACTGGACTAGGTCAAAAAACTGAACCCAGCTCAACCTCTTTTCAGGATAAGCTGTATTATTAGGTTGTTCATATAATTCTGCGCCCCTTACCCCAAAAATTTGGTTTAACAGAGGGCGCAGAATTAAGTAAACAACCTATTAGTACAGCTTATGCTGAAAAGAGGCTGAGCTGGGTTCAAGTGGCAAACTTTACTATGACATACCTAAGCTATAACAGCACAATTTCAAATACAAACCCCAAAAAAGCCTGCCAAACCAAACTAAATATTATAGATCCAAAATTACCCGCTTTTTAAAGTGCAAGCCAATTGAAGAGGTGAATATAATTGTCGCCGAAATGTAAATATTTGACAATGAAAAAAAGAAGGAAAAATAATCCCTATTTAACTCCAAATCCCCTGCTACTTATTCCTTATGGCTAGAGCTTCGACAAACACGACAAGAACACCGGGTGGTGGGGTTGGAAAAAGAGTAGTAACACAGAGTAGTAAAACACAGTAACAACTCTTTAGTATAACCATCAATAGTATACTGAAGCCATCAAGTTTTGACCCCCATATGACTTGGCTATGAGTTAACTGATTGGGGCCAAACTTGGTATAAATACTCATAAAGTACTAAGGACTGTATATAGTGACAGCTTTCGGCCCTCCCATAGTTTTAAGATAGCCCTTTTGATACTTTTCGAATTTCGAACTATATACGATCTTAAACTACAAAACCTATAAAGTAGTGAAAATAATACGTCTATCATAATATAAGAGCTCTCAAGTCGCCAAAAACTCCTTCAAAATCGATTTTTATTAAGCAAATATAAGCTTCAAATTGATACCTACTTGAAACTCGAAAAAATTCAACCACTAACTCAAACTGAAGCTCAAGCCCCAAGCCCAGAGCCCTATCTCAGAACCCTAGCTCTAGCTCTAGACCAAATGCAAGCCCAACCGAAATCAAAAAAAGTAAAATTTAAACAATAATAAACCTAATTTTAAACCCTTTATACTCTTTTTTAAATGCCAAACCTAAGTTTTCAAAAATTACAAATTGTTTCCCTGCCCTTAATATGCTCTAGCCTCTAAAAGTACACTGCACTAACCTTCCTGAACTTGTAACTCGCGCACAATGCACTTTTGAAAATCAAAAACGTATAACTTGCAACTTTTCAGAATCCTAATATACTATGCTTTTCTAGAGTCTTATACTATCCTAAGTCTAATACTTTTAAAATGCCTAATATTAAGTGCCGACATAAAGAACCCGCCATGTTTTACAGGAAATTATAGGCAAAGTATGGCGGGTTCTTTATGTCGGCACTTAATATTAGGCATTGACCTAATACTTTCCTAGTCCAACCAACTTAAAACTAACAAATATGACATTTTTAATTCTCAAAATTCTATGTAATAATACTCTTCCAAACAATCCCCCCCCCCTCTTTTGTTTCCCAAAAAAACCTTATTTAAAGTCCTTCCAAAAGTGCAATTTACACGTCCAAAAAAGCCTAAGTAATACAATTGTAGGCCGTTTCCTAAATCAGATTCTTTTTGAGAAAAAAGTGAAAAGAATATCAATGATGACATAAAGTTTTGCCACGGAAATTGATAACGAAATCGAAACTTAAAAAAAATTGTAAGATTTACAAGTAACGTACCCACCTTGCCCCGAGACTAGGACTAGGGGTATAGCTAGGGATAGAGCTAGGGGTACAGCTAGAGCTAGGGATACATCTAGAGCTAGGGCTAGAGCTAGGGGTACAGCTAGACATAGGGATAGAGCTAGAGGTACAGCTAAAGCTAGGACTAGAGCTAGAGATACAGCTAGAGCTAGGGCTAGACCTAAGGATACAGTTAAAGCTAGGGCTAGAGGTACAGCTAGAGCTAATGCTTGGGCTAAGGCTAGAGCTAGAGCTAGGGCTAGGAAATGGTTTAGATCTGGGCTAAAACTGATGTTGAGGCTGATACCAAGGCTCATGCTAAAGTTAGTGTTATGGGTAACAATGAAAAAGAAAACTATCAGTACCATGCATAAAACCCGTAGTTCTTGTTAACAAATTTCGCAACCAAAAAAAATTTTTTTTTTAATTTGAAAAGAAGTACAAACTTCAGGTCAACAATTAATTTCCTTTTCCTTTCAAGGCCCAAAACATCAATTTTTCCTGGAAAAGTTTAAACTTTTTTTCCTTTTTTGAAACGTTTGGCGGTGCGATAAAAAACCAGTTTTATGGCCAAATTTGTTAACAAGAAATACGGGTTTTATGCATGATACTAATAGTTTTCTCCTTCCTTGTTAGCAATAACACTAACTTTAGCATGAGCCCTGGTATCAGCCTCAACACCAGCTTTAGCCCAGATCTAAACCATTTCCTAGCCGTAGGCTTAGCTCAATCATTAGCTCTAGCCCTAGCACTAGCTGCGGCTGTAGCTGTAGTCTTAGCCTTAGCTCTAGTCATAGCTCTAGCTGTACCCCTAGTTCTACACCCTAGCCCTAGCATTATCCCTAGACCTAGCTCTAGCCTTAGCCCTAACATTAACTCTAACTCTAGCTCTAGCTGTAGTCCTATTTCTACACCTTTGCCTTAGTCTTGGGGCAAGTTGGGTACGTTACTTATAAATAAAAATTCAAAAAATTAAAACGTGTACATACATATGTATCCACAACATGTAAAAAGATTAATGATAGCTTTTCCTGACCCAACAAAAAAAATAATGTCAACATATGCTCAGATATTCCCCAAAGACTTTATTCATTAGCCATTAGTCGAAATAGCTGCATAGTTAATGTTCGGATGCGACGACTTTCATAAAGACATTACGATTACACATTTTAAATGTTTATGTGATAAGAGCCAAGAGTAAACTAGAAGTAAATAGTAGCTAAACTAGTAAGTTTTGACCTAGTATTTAAAATGGCATAGTGGTGAAAACTTTTGTAGTGCATATTCCTACGTTAAGTAGCCTTAAAGGGGTCTTAGCTTTAAAATAATCAAAATGAAGTATTTTTAAACAACTTTAAATCATTTTTTAACTGTTCTATTAGGTTGAACCAAAAGTAGCGGGACACTTTTTGATTTACATTATTGAGTTACTTTCCCCTTCATTATGTAATTTGATGCCGGTAGCCCTCATGTTTGACATCCAAATACAGACTGACGGTAGACAATAAAGACTTAACGTTTGTGATTATAAAATAAAAAAACACGGAGAATAAGCTAAAATAAAAAATTTTAAATAATTTAACCGCAACATAGAGAAAACGACCGGTAAGGTTTTGTAACAGAACTTTTGACGCACTCTGTACAAATAACCGAAAAATGTCCCGCTACTTCTGGTTCAGTCTAATACGTGTGAAAACAAAACAAGCTGATGAGTATAAGTTGCAAAAGAGCAATTAGTTTAAAATTCTTTTGAACTTTAGAATTGACCAGTTGAGTAGCAACCACAGCCAACGTTTAACCATTGTCATTATTCTAAACAACACATGGTTTGAAGTCAGATGGTTTTTTGAACAGAACTGTGCAATTTTAAAAAGTTTTGACTAAATAATAACATCATTTAACTACGAAACGCAGAAAAGTTCTGCTCTTAATCTTAGCCATAGTTTTAACTTTAGCTCTAACCTTAGCCCTAGCTCTACCTCTAGCCCTAGCCTTAACCCTAGTTATAGCCCTGGCTCTAGCTCTAGCTCAAGCCCAAGCTCTATCTCTAGCTCTAACTCAAGCCTTAGCTCTTGCCCTAGCTCTAGCCTTAGCTCTATCACAAGCCCTGGCCAAGCCTTTTACCTTATTCCTAGTCCTATCGATAATATACTCAAGCAAACCCACTACCTAACCTCTTCTCTTCCCTCTAAACCCCTCTAGACCTATTCCTAACGACCAAGCCCAGAAAAAACCCTTTTGAACCCGTCTGGCAAAACACTGTCTACTAAACTGTCACGTCATTTGACCTTTTTTTAAAACATTTTTTGCATAAAATTAGAACATTGAGTCCATATGCTGCGCATCATTAAAATCCAACGTTTTTTGACAAATAGAAACAAAACAAAACCAAATGAAATTAATCTTCTATTTCAAACTGCTTCTCAATTTCAATCCCAATGAATCTCGAAAAGATACGTAAATGTTGCCAAACAATATGTTGATTAAACGTTGCTAAAAGTCATTAAAAAAACATATGTCAACAAAATTTATGGCATATGAGTAAATGACAAATTCAAAGTTGGTACAAGTCTCGTACAGTAAATATACTTACAAAATGAAAAAAAGCTAGGCTAATGCTTATGCTAATCGAGAAGCTAAGACTAACAATTGTAAGACTAGGTATAAGGCAGAGTTTTAGACTACCAAAGACAGTGCCCGATCTGCTTCGCTCTGATTGACTTCAAACTTTTTATATAGAAAGATCATAAGACCTTAAGCATATTACTAAACCGCACTTTACAGTAAATCACGAAAAAAACAAAATTAAAAAATAAAATTTTGAATTTCCCGCCAAGCTGGCATTGAGTTTCAAGCTTATAACTTTGTCTCTTTTTGACTTTTAATAATTTTTCTTTGATAAACTAGTACAAAACCTTTAAATAAACCTAAATTTTTAAATATGTAAGCTTAGCTTGTCTGGAAAGTCTAAAAAAGTGCTTGAAACACAATGCCAAATTAGCGGAAACTTCAAATATAAAAAAATTCAAAACTCAAAAGCGCGAGCTAAAATTTTTTATGGTACTATTAGTAGTACAAAGAAATCATATAAAAACTTTGAGCTGTTTCTGAGTGGAGCAGGTTGGGTAATTTACCTGTTAGTGCTAGTCTACTATGGTGAATATAAAAAATCCAAAAACTGTCAAAATCGTAGCGTTTTGAGCAAAGGAAAGTCAAAATCCCAGCATTTTAAACCCATTTTTGAATTATCATCCCGAAACTTCACCGAAGAATCCCACACCTCGCCAAAGAATCCCAAACCTCGCCGAACAAGCCTAAAAACACCGCCCCAATTAACCTCATTAAGCCCTAATGACCGCCCGCGTTCAGGAATATTCATATAAAAAGCGGCGGCACGTCCACCCCATACGTTCCATCTCGAATATAACGTCCCTTTTTTTGTAGTTTTAAGGGTGTATGAAGAGCGGCCGACGACGGCCGCCTCTCCAATGTGTCGAACGCCTCAAATTTCGCGGCAAAAATTTCATTTCCACGCGGCGGCCAAATGAGCAAAGCACTGCCGTTGTCGCGCACAGATTTATCGAATAAGCTGCAGGATTTAAAGTTTTAGCCTGAGGTTTAGCCGTAATCTTAGTATGAACCTTAGGTTTGTTTTAGTCATAGCCTTAGCTTTACCCTTAGCTCTAGCCTTAGCTTTAGCCTTAGCTTTAGTCTTAGCTTTAGCCTTAGATTTAGCCTTCGCTTTATCCTGAGCCTTAGACTCAGCCTTAGACTCAGCTCTAGCATTGGCCTGAATCCTAGCTTTAATCTTACAAGGAAAGTACCCACCCTGCCCTGCTCCGAATCAGCTCAAACTTTTTATATGAATCCTTAGTATCACTAATAGTATCCATAAAAATTTTAGCTCGCCCTTTTGAGTTGTAATTTTTAAATATTTGAATTTCCCGCCAATTCGCAAATTTTGGCACTGTGTTTCAAGCACTTTTTTTGACTTTCCAGACAAAGCACGCTTACAAATTACATATCGTTAGTTTATTTAAAGGTTTTCTACTAGTATATCGAAGAAAACTGATTAATAGTCAAAAAATTACAAAGTTATAAGCTTGAAACACAATGCCAATTTGGTGAAAAATGCAAAACGGAATTTTTCAATTTCGGGTTTGCGGAGATAGCCTTGGACTTAACCCTAGATCTAGTTCCTAACCCTAGTCTTAACACCACCCAACACTCAAACCTCTCCCCCTACAAAATTTCCTCCTTCTGCAACCGCCACAACATCCCCTTCCTTATTGTCCGAATCCCAGGAATCATGACTAAACTTCCCCATAAAACGTTACAAACATCGCTTCGCAATCCTCACGCTAACACTTAAAAACATTTTTTTTGCATTCAAGAATCCAGACGTGTTGAGAAGGGGTGTCCTCACAATCATCGGAGGTCAAGTCAACAAGCGAAAGGGAATCGGATTAGGTCCTCAAGAGAATCGAATCAGCGCGGCAGCAATCCTGTTTTGTCGGCCAAACAAGGGGTCGGGCCGACAGAAGGCCAAGTGATATCATGCCGGCGGAGAAATTACAGTTTTTTAAAGAAAGAGGCGTGAAATTTAAAAAATGTTAATAAAAATATTATGTCCAAACGATGCTTTTAAATCTAGTTTTAGGCTCACCCTAATTTGGCCGTAGTTTAAGCCTTTCACTTACAATTCTTAGGCTAGATATTGACCTTATCTTGGGTCTTAGTCTAACCATTAGTCTTACTCTTAGCCTTGTGTCTTGATTTTAGCCTGAGTCTTAGCTTTAGCCTGAGAAGCCTTTGCCTTAGTTTTAGCCTGAGCCTTAGACTTAGCCTTAGCCCTAGCCCTAGCCTTAGCCTTAGCCTTAGCCTTAGCCTTAGCCTTAGCCTTAGCCTTAGCCTTAGCCCTAGCCTTACTATTCGCTTTAGCCTTGGCATTGGCCTTAATACTACCTTAGCCTCACTTATCTCCAACCCTTCTGACTGCAATTTTTACTTAATATATTCCCAGTACTACCTTAAAAATGCCTTATTCTACCTAGCCCCAACGTTAATCCTTAAAATCCTTGAAAATGTAAAATATGCACGTAATACAATACGATCCAGACTTTTAAATATTTACAAATAAACAAAAATAGGCTGTTTTGGCACAGTATGTTTTGTATTCTAAATGTGGCGTTTTGGAGACAAAAATTGGAGACTTGATGCTATTTTTGCACTAATTAGAATTCCATTACAGAAGTGATATATACTCAAAACACAACAAAAATGTTTTTTGGAAGTAAGCTTTTTTTTAATTTTTTTTTCAAAAATTAAAAAAAAAGTTTTTAGCTCAACCCATAGCCTTATCCCTAGCTTTAACACTAGCTCAATCTTTAACCCTAAACCCTAGCCTTAACCTTAGTCCAAGCCCTAGCCGTAACCCTAGCTTTAACCTTAGCTCTAGCCTTAACCCAAGACCTAGTGCTTAACCTAGCCTTACCACCACAAAGACGAGCATTTGTTTATATGAACATTGTGATGGCTTTAAGAACAGTACGGTACGTTGTCGACGATGTGCAATAAGGCCCAATTTTAAGTGTAAAGTTAAACTTTACTTACCTTTCCATATAAATGATATAGTAATAGGTAATATCAAGGTAGTATTGTACTTGATAACAGCAAGCTAGTATGATACCAAAAATAGTTTTCCTACAGCTTCAGATATCTTACGGCCTTAGGTATAAATGTCCAAAAATCTTTCAAAACCAAACTCAAGCTCAAACATTCAGAATTACCGTAGTAAAGCAGTAAAAAGTCGTGCCAAAATCGTTTAGTCAGAAACAATTGCAATTCGAATAAAATTTATTTTACACTTTATGTCGCGGGCCGTTTTTTGAAGTGCGCGGAGATTAAAACAGAATTAAACATAAAACATTGCAATGTTACGGCTGTTTAAGTGTTTCCTCGTTTTCTTTGCCAAGTTTAAGTCTAAGTGATGTTGCAATGAAAAAATGATGACATAAGAAAGTTTTAAAACAATTTTTGGTTAGACGAGGAACGATAAATGAGCCGCGTAAGCCCGGACTAGCCTCGAGAAAATATGAAAACAAGCTGGGCCATAAAACTGAGTTCTAAGCCCAAATCGGCCATAAAAAATCGAGTCCCGGGCCTCTGTCGGCCTAAAAAACAGGCCCGGCCCCGTCTCCCACCCAAAAACTGACAAATCAAAGACGCTTTAGGCCACCCGGCAACTAATTTGTCCCCACAATTAGGCCTTTTATGTAGCCCTGTTTTCTTATCCGAAACGCATAACTTTTAATGGCTAAAAACATATGCCAAGGGCTCACAACAAATTTTTGGACATAACTTATATTACCCTAGAAGTGCTCTATCTTTACCCTACCTTTTCATTGCCTTGCCTTGCCCTGCCTTATACTAGCTCTACCCAATGTTCCCCTACACTACACTACCCAAAACAGCTGTAAGGTAAAGCATGGTAGATATATAGGAAGAGTAGTTTCTACCTTACCATACTTCGCTTGGACTCCCCCTCCCCTCCCCCTTTAAAACTTTTTTAAAATATGAAATTACAAAAAAATCAAAATTTAAAACCATTTTTAGACACACCAAACCCTACCAACCCAAGTAAAATAAAGCCACTTAACCCCAAATTAAAATCCAGGAAGTTGCAACAAAGTTGCCAGAGGTAATTTGTCTTTTCCAACCATTTTAAATTTCAAAGTTTTAGCGAATTATCTTTGATTTGTCTTAAACTGACAGAAACAAACGTTTGTCACACCAAAGCCAATAGTTTTTTGATAAAAAGTTCAGTAAAAGTTCAAAAAGCAAATATTACTAATGGCAGTGACCAGAAAATTGGTTGCACCGTGCAAAATAATAAAAATGGCACCGTGCAGAAATTTAAAGTCGCGGAAACTAAATTTTGGCTAAAAAATTTTTTTTTGAAATGTTGTCATAAAACTACATAAAGAAAGCATTCTAAACACAAATCTATTTACGTCTACTTAGGCTTGTTTTAAAATGGCAAAAGAGTGCACCGTGAAAAGAAATTAAGACTGCACAGTGCAAGAGAAAATAAGACTGCACAGTGCAACGAATATATAAAACTGCATGGTGTAAAACGCTTTCTTTGTAAAAATCAAACTTTTTCGAATTCAAAAACAAACTTTTGAGTATTCCAAAAAGTATGTCGTCAGTTTTATTATGTATAAAATTTTACTCGAGTTTGGCGTGGCTTTGCTTTATATTCGCTCAAATAACGGAAACAAAGGCATTTCCTGCCTTTTTCAACTTTACATCAAAAGAAATGGAAAAGCGGTGATACCGAAGACTTCTATTTGGTACTGTTTTTGATATTCTAACCAAATTTTCGGGTATGTCTATATTAAAATGGAAAAAAAATTCTGCTTTTTACTACATACTATTAGGTTGTTCAAAAAATTCTGAGCCACCTAATCTTAACAATTTGGTTTGAAAAAAAGGCACAGAATTATTTGAACAACCAAAAAAAATTCAAAAACCTCAAAAATTTCAAAAAAATAAGTTTCAAAATAAAAAAAAAAATTTTTAAAAAATAAAAAAATTTTAAAACTTCAAAAACCAACCTTATAAACGAAGATGGAGAGCCAGGAATATGTGACAAAACTGATGCAATCGAGGAACGGCTTTCTGTCCACGGCGGCATTACCACATTACTCATACCTGCAATTTCGAGAAATGTCACATATGAAAATCGTAAAAATGATTTTACATTACTATTTTTGGAGATATCGTAGCTAGCTTTACTAGGGAAGTGCACCAAATATCCCTCGGCTTTTTGAACAAGACCTATGTAGGATGAAAGAGCATAAAAAGTTACCGGGAAAACTGTTTTCAAAAATTGCTAAATAGATTCGGCTAGCGAGATATTAGCGATTAAAGGTTTTACATAGGGTTTTCTATTTGATCCTTCTCATTCGTCTTGAGCAAAATGAATGGATTGAAGCGTCAATCCAGTGTGGTCGAGTGGTTAACAAGTTAGTCTGGAGTGCAAAAGAGGGAAGTACGGATCTTGCCGGTTTCATTTTGGCGCCCAGCCATGCTGACAAGAAGTTTTGGCTAGCCAAACAATATTTTGGTTAAAAAAAGTTTTTTTAAGTTGTATTTTTTGCTTTTAGACACTTTTAGGAAAAAATAATTATCAAAAAATGTCATTTTTTGAACTTTAAAGCTATACCCTTTAAACATAAGGATATAGAGCATACTGTAACTCGCTAGCCAAGGCCATTTAGCAGTTTTTGAAAACAGTTCTCCCGGTAAATTTTTTAGCTCTTTCATCCTATATAGGTCTCGTTCAAAAAGCCGAGGGATATTTGGTGCAATTCCCTAGTTAGCCATAACAAAAATTTATAGTCTTAGTCTGGATCTGAATAGAAATCGGCGTAGCCGATCGCTAGTCTGTATGTGAACAAGGGTTAGAGCTAGACCTAAAGCTAGCAATAAGGCTCTCTCTCCTAGCCATAGTTGATCCCAGCCCAAGTTCTAGCCCCTAGCCCTAGACTTAATATTAGTTGTAACCCCAGTCTTAGCCGAAACCCAAATCATAGTCCTAGTCTAAACTCTAGCCTTAGTCCTAGCCTTAGTTCTTTCTCTTTTCTTAGTCTACATCCTAACCTTAAGTCCTACTCTTAGCCATATTCCTGTTCCTAGGCTTCCTCCTAGGCCTAGCGCTAGTCCTAGCTGTAAGCTTAGTCCAAGTCCTAGTACTAGTCCTTGTCCCGGTCATAGTCATAGCTCTAGTTTTAGTTCAAGTCCTACTTCTACTTCTAGTTCTAATTCGTTCTAGCCCTAGCTCTAACTCTAGCTCTAACTTTAGCTCTAACTCTAGCTCTAACTCTAGCTCTAACTTTAGCTCTAACTCTAGCTCTAACTCTAGCTCTAACTTTAGCTCTAACTCTAGCTCTAACTCTAGCTCTAGCTCTAGCCCTAGCTTTAGTTTTAGTTCCTAATTCTAGCATAGGCTTCCATACAATTATAAGCCAAAAATGAAGCCTAAACCCAAAATTTTCAAAAAACAGTTTTAACTTTAATATACTTCAAAAACAACCCCAAACATGTGATATGAGTTATATTTATCAGTAGCGGAACGAAATGTCATAAAAGAGTTTCTTTTTATAAATTTTGAGTGATTTGAAAAACGAAAAAAGCGCTGTCCTCAGGGGATTAAACTCAAACAAAAAAGAGTGGCAAAGTTTTAATTTGCCAACAATATTAAGGAAGTATTATTTCGAAGAACAATCAAAATTGTAAAAGCTCTTTTCCTAGTCCAGTTTTGCTAAAGCTCCAAATCTTATCTGCTCTAGCCTTTGCCCACCCTAAGACTAAACAAACCCTATAAGGCCCTACTCGAATTCAAAACTTCCTTACCTCCTCAATGATCCAAAACTTTTATATTAGCCAAGCCACAGCCTTTCCTAATCCCAATGTAATATTATTTTGGCCCTACCTAGCCCCAGACCTAGTCCTAGCTTCAGCAATAGCCACACCTAGCACTATTCTTAGCCCTCGCCTAAACCATAGCCCTATCATTAGGTCTAGCCTAAACCATAGCCCTATCATTAGGTCTAGCCCTAGCCCTGTGCAAGACCAAAATGAACCTTGCTTTAGCCCTAGCTTAGTCTAAACCTATCATTAATACATAAAAAGCCTTAGCGTAGCCTTATTGCTAACCCTAGCCTTTCCCAAGACCAAAAGTAACCTTGCTCTTGCCCTAACTTAGTCCAAAACTATCATTAAGTTACCTTACCTAAAAAGAGCCGTAGCTATAGCCCTAACCCTAGCCGTACGCAAGACCAAGGTGTGCCTTGCTCTAGCCAAAACTAACCCTATGCCAATCTTCAATTTACTTTACCTTTCTATAACAAAAAAACCATTTTTACCTCCTTTCTATGCCTTTTTTAACCATTTTTTAAAACTTTTTAAACCCATTTTTACGCAATTTTTAACCCCCAAACTACATACCTAAAACCCCTTGCAAGCCCTGCAAAACTATAAATAAACAACCAAAAACCTCAATTTTTACCACCAAAAACATTGTAAACACTTGCTCCCATAACTCGGTAAATGACACAGAATTCTCACCCCAAAAACTATGGGAATTCGAAAAAAGGCTTTTAAACGATTTTCGAAAAGAATATTCGAATAGTTTGGACTGATAATGGAGCTTCGAGTTTTTTGTTTTATTGCATTTATAATTAACAACCACAAAGGCCTTATTTACACTTGATAATAGGGCTGGAAAGGGTGGTAAAAGGCCTAAAAAGGGTGATAAATACAGTAAAAGGGGCGGGAAAAAAGATGAGTAATGCCACGTAGAATAAGATAAGAAAAGGTAAATTAGTGATAAGTAGGGTAGAACCAAAAAAGACAACGTTGAGTATGGCAAAGTAAAAAAAACAGCTGTAGTGGTAGAATAGGGTAGGGTATGGCAAGATACGGCTTTGACTTGTGGGCTAAGACTAGGAGTAGAGCTAAAGCTAAGGTTGAAGCTCTGGGTTAGAGCTAGGGCTAATTTCAGAGCTAAGGCTAAAGCTTTGGACTAGGACTAATGCTAGAGCTAAAGCTAGGCCTATGGGCTAGGGCTATAGGCTAAGGCTAAAGCTCTAGGCTAAGACTAGAGATAATGCTAGAGCTAGGACTCTGGGCTAGGGCTCTGGGCTGGGGCTAAGACTCTGGGCTAGGGCTCTGGGCTAGGACTCTGGGCTAAGGCTCTAGGCTAGTGTTAGAGCTAGGGTAGAGGTATCATATAGTAGCGTAGGATATTAGATTGTTCACTTAATTCAGCGTCCCCTTTCAAAGCAAATTTGTGGAGTAAGGGGGCACAGAATTATGTGAACAACCTAAAAACTAAAAGTGTAAAATACGTCCTTTCCCCTATTTCCCGCCAAATATAAAATTTAAAAAAATCAATAAAAACTTTCAAGTTTTTAAAAACCAATGTAAAATTTAAAAATTCCAAAACCAATCACGTCTATTGTCTAAACTCTTCCAAAAAGTACCGTACATGCAGTCGTACATGTCTCTTGCAAGAACCCGACCAACCCCCCACAAAAGCGTCCATACAAAACAAAACGGACGGTTTTCGTGGGTAGAATTTATAAATAGACGGACCTTATATACAAATTACAACTGCATTAGTAGCGTATAATCAGTTTATTTTATTTGCCAAAATTAAATCCTACACACAATAACAGTGGGGGTGTTTTGGGGTTTTTTCAAAAATTGGGAAGGGGGGAGGTTTAGTTGGCATGTTATGAAGTTTATAGAAATTTGCGAAGGGGGGTGGCGCGGCATAAAATTTTAAGTTTTTTAAAATTTTTTAAATTAAAAAATATTATAATAACACGGTTTTAAGCCCTCCAGGCAATTTAAAAAAAACGGTAAAGATAAAACAAATAGGAGAAACAAAGGCGGTGCTAAGCCTATAATAAGTTAAAAAATGCCTAATATAAGCCTATTTTAAGATTGAGGTTCGTATTGGGACAAAAGCTAATGTTAGAGCCAAACATAGGCCAAAGCCTATGGCTAAGGCTAAGCCCCTAAGCCCGAAGCTAGAACTAGAATTAGAGTTAAGCCTATGACCAGGACTAAGACAAGGACTAAAGCCAGGGCTGAAGCTAGGGCTGAGTCTAATGCTAAGGCTGAGACTAGTGCTAGAGCTAAGACTAACGCAAAGACTAAAGTTAAGGCTATAGTTAAGGCCGAGGCTAGAGTAGAGCTAGGACAACGGCTAGAAATACGGCTAAAGCTAGGGCTAAAGCAAGAGCTAAGATAAGAGCTATAGCTAGAGCTATGGCTAAAGCTAGGGCTAGAGATAAAACTAAGGCTAGAGCTAAGGCAATTCAAAAATAAAAAAAATCCCTCAAAAAAACCTAAAAAACGTTAAAACTTACTAGACAACGGCCGATATGCACTAAGATTGTTGCCGTCCTCAATGTCGCTGGGCTGGATTTGGATTTGAGGCACAGCACCGTAATGTACAGGGTATTCTGAAAGCATATTTACTTTATAAAAGTCGTATAAAGCGTAGGTTTGAAATAAAATGTTACAATGTTATGATTGAATTACTTTTCGAAAAATTTGATAAAACCACTTTTTGCATAAAATTAAAGTCGAACAGACTTTTGGGGTGGTGCTTTACTTCCAAAAACGAGTTTATGAAAAAAAAGTTGAAAAATAAAAAAATTATTAAGCCATTCACTTAATTCTGCGCCCCCTAATAAAAACAATATGAAGTGAGATTAGAACTGAACGAGGGAGGAAGACTAAAACTCTACCATATATTTCCTCGCCTTTCATTTACACTAAATATCCTTCTTACCGTAATATATTATCTACCTACCATCAGGGCCGGGCGGGGTCTTTTGTTCTGGGGATTGAAAAAATTACAGGGGGACCACGTTCAACTGTTTTCGAAATTTTTTTTTCTGGGGGGAAGGGGTCCTCATTACACTTACAATAAAAAAAATTCGTTTTAAGTTTTCTATTAAAACGCACTATATAGTACGGTACTACGAAATCAAAATTTATATAACACAGAGTTAAAGAAGCTGTTTTTTATAAAAAATTTCAAAGAAAGATATAATTTTATATTTATATACAAGTAAAAAAAATATCGCGTACTATGCACGGTACCACAAAATAACAAACTTTTATATTTTTAAAACAAAAAAATATTAAAAAACCTCAAAAATCAAAAAATTCCCCCCCCCCTTTTTTCCCAGCAAACGATTTATAATCAATCCAATCAGTAAAAAAATAAATTATCAGTCCAGCCTGTCGACTGGACTCCCAAAAATTGCTAGAGCTCATAAGCGAGCCCATGCACGGAAATCTTTAGTAAAAGGCGAAAGATTTATCCGTTTGAGGATGCATGGACCCCAGAGATACCTCCCATTTCTCTTTTCCGCTCTTCCTTTCTCTTCTCACTTGTCTTTCGATTAGGTTTCACCGGTGCGCGAGGGAAAAGAGGGCGAATTGGGGTGGTAGAGAGAGAGAAAGAATGTAATCAAGAATAAAGAACAGAATGTATAACTTTCAAGTTTAAAAATGACAAAAGATAAAAAAATCTTTTTTAAGGTCTGTTTAATAAAAAATGGCAATTTGAATTTTTTTGATTTTTAATTTTAATTTAAAATTTCTTTTAAATTTAGAAAAACCCAAACCCGCAACCGTATTTTACCAAAAAAGTTGACTTTTCGCATGCCTGAAGTCATAAAAACCTACAAAAATTTTTACCACTTTCTCTTCTCCCTCTCGCATTATTTTCCCTAAACCCCCTCTTTTCATATTCCCCCTCCCCCTTCTTATTTACCCTAAAACCACCCCCTTGTTATCCTCAAAAAGTTTCTTTTCACCACCCTTCCTTACTCCAATATTTACCCTAAAACCACCCCCTAGTTACCTTAAAACCCTTTCCTTTCACCACCCTTCTCCACTTCAATATTTCCCATAAAACCACATCCCCCCCTTCCCTCTAGTTACCCAAAAACCCCTTTGTTCGCATCAAACTCAAAAATTGACAAAATTAAACCTGCCAAAACGAATTCATAGACAAAACACGCTTTTTGACGTAGAAATTCGAAAAATAAAGGGCTTTTAAAACACATTTCAACTCATAAAACGGCCAAAAACTTGTGTTCCCAGAAAGAATGAAAATCATGGAGTTTAAGCTTTTTAAAGAAAAATAAAGCCATTTAGGTTATGGGATCATAAAAGTAAAAGGTTTGGGAACTCTTGTTTTTCATTTTATCTTTCTAATTTGTTTTTTTAAATTTCAAAATATTTTTTTATGTAATAGAGCTCATAGTTAGTCCTAGCTCTAGTCCTAGCTCTAGCCCTAGCTCTAGCTCTGGCCCTAGCTCTAACTCTAGCTCTTGTTCTAGCTCTCCCCAACGCCATAACTACGGATTTGGTCCTGCAGTACTCTTACGTGCTCGTGTCCTGTCCTGCCTTGCCCTGTCCTTTCTTGTCCTGAATTCCGCTGCCCTGGCTTGCCCTTGACTCTAGCCATGACTTAGTCCTTCCCCTAACCAGAAATTTATCCTTAACCCTAACCCAAGTCATATCTATGTTCCTGTTTTTTACCGCCCCATTTAGCCATGCTTTGCCTAGTACTGCCCTATTTTCCTTTTTTTCATACAAAAGACGTTACCCTACCCTTTGCGTCCAATTACCCAACACTAGCCTTCAATAACAATTACTCTACCCTACTCTTAATAACAACATTCTAACCTGGCCCTAAAAGAAGTTGAAAAAGCCAAAAAATTAGCACCGGCCCTATTTTACTAGGCCCTACGCTAAGATTTTTAAAAAAAATTTTGTCGTCATTTCAACAACACTTTTTTAGTCTACCCTACCCTATCCTGTCATCTCAACCAAACGTTTTTAACTTTCAAATACTCATATACGTTGTCATTAAGTATAATATAAAAACTAGTACACCCAACCCAATAAAAATGCCAACATAACCACAAAGAGCCAGGACAACAAAGAGCCTACAATTATATAGACCTAAAGCTGAACAAAAAGCCCTATAGCATCAATTTTGAATTATGAGAAAGTCAGCCCTTTTTCAATCAAAGACAAACGGTTCGACCCACTCGATATAACTCAAAGGTCATATTGAAGTAGTTGTTAAAAATAGAACAAAAAATGGGTTTTAATATAAAGCCTCTGGCTTTGACACATTTCGAATGACGTTTGTTGTCGGGACCGGGTCGGGCGGGTCGTATACTGCTTTGAATGATAGAGATGAGTGACCTTAACCTACATCTTTCCTACCCTACCCTACCCTACCCTACCCTACCCTACCCTACCCTACCCTACCATACCATACCATACCCTATCCTACCCTACCCTACCCTACCCTACCCAGTTCCGACCCGTAGACATAAGAAACTGGCCGGGCCAGGCCGGCCTTGAGCAAAAGTTCGGGCCGGGCCTGAAAATTAAGCCCGGCCCGTTTCTCATGTCTACCGGCTCGGCCCAACTTTTTTTAACGTGCAAAACAGGCTAAAGTTTTTGGGCCGAACAGGCCTTGATTTTGAGGCCCAGCACGACGTAAACTTGAATGATGACCGGCCCGACCCGTTCCTCTTGTTTACCATCCTATCTTATTCTATCGTACCCTTTTACTCTACATTATCATATACCACCTTACACTAACCCCAATCCAGGCTCGAAGCCCTTAGGAAAAGATACCCTCCCCTATCAAAAATGATTATTTACGTTAACTTTCAGCTAAAGCTCACTCACATGTTTAGTCATGCCGAAACTAATTAAAGCAACAATTAAATTACAGAATATAAATAACAAATGTACAATTAGATTACTCAACTTTTACTATAGAATAAATTTGATTATTGTGAAACGCCAGAACTCGAAAGGTATTTAAATACCGGTAATAAATTAGATCCAATAAAGACAAAAAAACATAATTGGGAGTCGGTTTTATGAGATTTCTCTCTGTTTTTATGCTGTTTGATCTTTCTATCACGCTGATTTATATTGCTATTAGCCAAACTTCCGTATCAAAATTTATTTTGTTAAATTAAAAAAAAATTTTTTATACCCTAGCCCGCCCTATCCTACTGATATAAGGTCATAAAGACCTTTAACTTTGATAAATGCCAAAATAAAACCAATACCCCACCCCAAAACCTACCCACAACGTGAATCGTCGGGAATCGTTTGGTCCCGCCACGAAAACTTCCACCCAAGCTCCCACCAAAATTGAATTGACCCGTCGACATCCTCGGGCTGAACTGAAACAATGGCGCGGTACTTTCAGCCTCTGGCGATCGGTTAAACGTCCTGGCCAACACTTTCCTCCGTCGTCGCTTCAGGCAACGTCCCAACTTCCGAAGCAGAATCACGAAAACCAGCGAAATCACAAACAGCACCGCCAGCAGAAGCAGTAGAAGCATGCCAAGTTGGAACAGCCCGCCCCAGCTCCAGCCGGCGACATTTGCGGTCTGACGTGGTGGTCGAGAATGGGGGTGGTAGTGAAAGGTGTGTTCGGCCGAAGTGGAGGGAGAGTCTACCACGTGCGGAAAGTTGCTGAAATTTTAAAAATTAAGCTTTAAAAATGTTTCAAAAAATTTTTTTTTGAAAAATAAATTAATAAAAATTTTTAAAAAAATTTAAAAAGTTGGCCAAAGGTATGCACAGCCTAAGCCTAGTTTTGTAACAAGCCCTAGCCAAAGCATAAGCTTCGACCCTGCCTTAACGCTAGCTTAAACCCTAGCCGACGTCCTAGAGCTAGCTTTAGACCAAGCTTAAGCAATAGTTTTAAGCAACAAAGCTCCAGCCCAAGCCATATATCTATTCCTAGCTATATTCTTAACTTGAAGCCTAGCCTAAAGCCTAGCCTAAAGCCGAGCCTAAAGCCTAGCCTAAGCCCTACCCTAAAGCCTAGCCTAAAACATAAAGCCTAAAGCCTAAACGCGAGCATAATACCTAGTCCCACCTTTATTTAGCTCTCGCTTTAATCCCAAAGCAAGCCATAAGGCTAGCCTAAACCGTTGCTTAAAACGTGGCTTAAGTCCTGCCGTATAGCTCAGCCAAAATATCGCAGCAACGTAAGTCGCCTGATACATAAGCCTATCTTAAAACCCAATAAAACGCCTGGCCTAATCCCTACTGTAAACACTAGCCTAAGCTCCGGCCATAGCTTTAGCTTTACCCTAAGTAAATCCTAGTATCAACCCTAAAAAAACCTATCATACAGTAACACGATTTACACTGTACCACCCCCAAAATGTAAACCCCATTCCAGTCCCAATAACCCCAACTTTAACAGAACGTCATAACAAAAGTGACATGACAACCCAAAGTATGCCTTTTTTAAGTGCCCAATTAGTCCCAGAAATTAAGTTTTCTAACTTTTGTTCATGTCTTTTGAATGAAACTGAAACCGGCATGTCACAAAATGGAGTTTGAAACAGATATTGTAAATATTTGAGTATTGGTTACAATAGAAAAAGCTTAAAATTTTAAAAAGTTTAAAAATTCAATTGAAAAACAGTTTTTAGAGGTCATAATGAGAAGTCAAAAGTTTAAACCCTACCCTACCCTACCCTACCCTACCCTACCCTACCTTACCCTACCCTACTCTACTCTACCCTATTTAGACTACCATGCCCTACAGATCAAAAATTTCTCTATTTCAAAGAAAAGTCTTGAAATATTTTGGCAAAGAACAAAACAAATCTTGTACTAATCTGTTGATGCCCTACATAGTTAATACCTTTTGTTGTCAAATATTCTCAATACAACAAGTACTTTAGGTAATACGACTTCCGCTCTTCAAAAAAAGACCTAGCCCAGAGCCCTAGCCCAGAGCCCTAGCCCAGAGCCCTAGCCCTAGGCCAGAGCCCTAGCCCAGAGCTCTAGCCCAGCGTCGAGTATTCAAAAACAGTAGCCCCAGTTCTAGTCCTAACCGTAGAATAGGTAACCCTACCTTTATCCTTCGCAAGCAACTTTCCAAAACTTACCCTAGCCCCACCGTAATCCTCGGTTTAGCTCCTACTCTAGCCCTACCGTAACCCCCAGTTGAGCTCTTATTCTAGCCCCACCGTAATCCTCACTTTACTATCACTCCTTCTGTAGCGCTACCCTTGTTTTCACCTCTCTCCCCTATAGCGCTTACTCTATGCTTCAAATAATTTTTTTTTAATTTAAAAACTTTTTTTTCAAATTTAAGAAATTTTTTAACATTAATATTTTTTTCGAAATTTTAAAAATTTTCAAATTTTCAATTTTTCAAAAATTAAAAAAAAATTAAATATGCAAAGCTGAAAGCTCGTCAAACCTTTAAGAAATTTGTCTGAAAAAAGGGTTCAGGAAGTCGGCTGTCTGTAAACATTTTCCGAGCGATTTGTAAAAGTGTATAGACAGGGCTGGTAATGTTCACAACATGAAAGCCGTAAGTTAGTTAGGCGGAAGATGAATAGACAACTTTAGCTTTAAAACGTTCTTTTTGACAAGCTTAATGTACTGTAGATTTTTGGAACGATTTTTAAAGTGATTTCATTTTAAATGGCATTTTTATATTGAAAAACGTTTAAAAATAGCATTAAAATGGCTGTAAAGAAAGTTCTTGCCATTTCTTGTTTTGTAAAGAAAGTTCTTGCCATTTCTTGTTTTGTAAAGAAACTTTTTAACATTTGTATCAAAACAAGATGATTTAGTGCTCTGCAAGCTGCGGGAGACAAGTTATACGATGAGAACTATTTTTCGTAGAATTTCGCAGTTTTAAAGATTTGTAAAGAAAGTTCTTGCATCTTTTATTAAATTTAAAATTTTTTTTAATCTAATATTTTAAAATTTGTGAAAAAAATGAATCATCAATTTTTACCCCGCCCAGCTTAAATTAGTGCCAAATTACAAGCGTTAGGCCCTGTCCTGCCCAGACCCGCCCTGCCCTGCCCCGCCCCGCCCTGTTCTGCCTTGTCCTGTCCTGCATCGCCTTGCTCTACCCTGCCCTGCCCTGCCCAGACCCGCCCTGCCCTGTTCTGCCTTGTCCTGTCCTGCATCGCCTTGCCCTACCCTGCGCTGCCCTGCCCTGCGATGCCATGACCCGCTCTATAACATAAAAAAGGCAAGTTTAACAGAAATGAGCCTTAAGACGGTTGACTAAGAGGAAATCCTTAAGAGTAATGACAACTAATTGGACACGTAATATAATCCGGCATTAAACAAACAACAAAAACGTCTTTTCATTTCGAAAAGGAGCTAGTCATGTTATGTGTTATTGCTAGATTAATTTTCAGGCTAATCTTACAGGGCAAGAATGGCACTTTTTAAAAAAAACTTAAATTTTAAAAAATTTTTGCGTCAAAAAACGATTTCTTGGACGAAGCTAATAAGGCCGTATTTTACATTTTTACAAACGTATCATAACCTTACTAACAAAAAACAATTTTTTAATTTAAAATTTTGTAATTCTAGTACTATATAGTACCAATAAATACCAAAAACAAGAAAATGTGAGACTTTTCAAAGTTTAGTCCTATACAGTACCACTGAGTAACAAAAACACAAAAAATTTACAACTTTTCAAAATTTAGTACTATTTAGTACCAATGAGTATCATACCCTCAAAATGAATGTCCTACACTCAAAGTTTACAAATTTTTAAATTTTAGTACTGTTCAGTACCAATGAGTACCAAAAACACAAAAACTTACGACTTTTCAAATTTTAGTACTATTTAGTATCATTGGGTACCAAAAACTCAAAAATATACAATTTTTAAAATTTAGTACTATTTGGTTGGTACCGATGAGTAATCATACATTCAAAATTAATACCCTACACTCAAAATATAAACATTTTCAAGTTTTAGTACTGTTCAGTACCATTGAAAACCAAAAAAAAAATACAAAATTTTTTGAATCTTATCACTATATAGTACTATTTAGCACAATTGAATACTGAATCACCAAAAATTTAAAATTTTTCAATTTTAGTACTATTTTGTACCATTCAGTAGTACTAAAACACAAACTTAAAAAAGTTTTAAAATTCAGTACTACCCACTACTAAAAAATCAATTTTTAAAAATTTGACTTACTTGGAGCCCATTCGCTGCCAAAATGCTCGGCTGACTTCAAATCATGAAGGTAGAATCGTGGTTACTATTGCCCAAATCATGCCTGAAAATTTTTTAATATTAGTTTTTTCATAGTTACTTTACTATCAGATATATGCCACAATACGCGTACTAACCCTGCCCTACCCTGCCCTACCCTACCCTAACCTAAACTACCCTACCCTACCCTACCCTACCCTACCCTATCCTACCCTACCTTACCCTACCCTACCCTACCCTACCCTACCCTACCCTACCCTACCCTACCCTAACCTACCCTACCCTACCCTACCCTAACCTAAACTACCCTACCCTAACCTAAACTACCCTACCCTACCTTACCCTACCCTACCCTACCCTACCCTACCCTACCCTATCCTACCCTACCCTACACTACTCTATCCTACCCTACCGTTCCATGGCTCTATCCTTGCCTCATCCTACCATATCCTTGTCCTGCCTTGCCTTTGCATTACTCTTGTCCCTTGCCCTACACTGGCTCTACTCTTGCCTTACTGTTGTCCTATCCTTACCCTGCTTCTAGCCATACAGCCCTAGCCCGCGCCATACCTCCAGTCTTATCCTCCCTTGCAGGTTTTGCTCTACAATTACCTTAACCTACCCTAATCTACCTTGCCCTACCGCTATCTCTCTAACCCAAGCCCATAACATAACCCCTGCCTTACTTTTACTTTACCTTTGCCCCTTTTCCCCTTACATTTCCCCACCCTTGCTCACCAATTACCCCACCCCACAATATTCAATTCAAACGTCATGTCAAAACGCCCTTGTCTCAAGTACGACAATATAACCCCATTAACAACATCTTGACCACTTTTTCCTCAATTTTCTGATTATGCCGCGACGAAAACGAAGTAACAAGTGCCTTAATTAAGTGTGAAACAATGTAAAAAACGCTTCGTAAAAGGCGAGCACGTTGCCAGGATTCAGAAGCACGAGGAGGAAGGATCAAAAGAACGGCCGGAATAGAAGCCATTTGCATACAGCAAAAAATAATAATGCCCACGACAAAAAGTTTTAAAATATTTACGCGTCAAATCCTAGTGTGAAGCGTCATCCAAATTTTCAGTACCGTGCTATATAGCACGTTGTGAAAAATTGGTAAAAAATGTAATTTTATACTAACAAAAGTATTAAAAACTTATCCTTTTTATCTAATTAATTAATTTTTTCAGTATCGTGCTATATAGTACGTTGTAAAAAATTGGTAAAAATGTATCTTTTTACTAATAAAAATATTTAAAAGCCATTATTTTTACATAGTTAAATGCAAAAAAAAATTATTCCAGTACCGTGTTATATAGCACATTGTAAAAAAACATTAAAAAATATCTTTTTTTTGTTGAAAATGTATTAAAAATTCATTTTTTACATACTTAAACTAAAAAAATAAACTTTTCGGTATCATGCTATATAGCACGTTGTAACAAAAAGGTTAAATAAAGAAATTTTCTGCAAGTATTAAAAACTAATTCTTTTTCATAATTAAAAAAATTTCAGTATCGAGCTATATAGTACGTTGTAAAAAAATGCTAAACTTTGACTTTCGGCTGAAAAAAAAATATTATAAACATACTTTTTTTACAAACCTAAGGTAAAAAAAAAATAAATTTTTTTTAGTACTGTACTGATAAAAAGACTAATTCTTTAGCCTACCCTGGTCTACCGTGCCTTGCCTTTTCTTGCCTTGCCTTGCCTTGTCTTGTGTTGCCTTGCCTTGCCTTTGCCTATACCACAAGTACAGTACTATCTCAGTACGAGTAAAACATGCAGTTCTCAGCAAACAAGCCTATACCTCCTAAAAATACCTCCATATATAAAACAATGTACCGTTTACCACAGTAAACTCAGAAGATTGTTTACGGAAACAGTATATAGTATATAATATAATACTTTAGAGTAATCCCGTTAAGCTGTTGGTGTTTTAAAAAATAACTTTATTCCTGAAGAAATACTGTTAATCGCGCAAAACAATAAATAACCTCTAATCTTTGCTTTTTCATTTGAAATATTGTTGCTTTTTGGTACAATATAGTATAATATTATCTGTAAATAAAGTTTTTTCGCTGGAATTTTGAAATATGCTTAAATTTGTTTTAAAAATTATTTTTAAAATTTGGAAAGAAAGTTCTTGCCATTTTTTGTTTTATAAAGAAAGTTCTTGTCATTTTTTATTTTGTAAAGAAAGTTCTTTCCATTTCTTGTTGTGTAAAGAAAGTTCTTGCATATTTGTTTTGTAAAGAAAGTTCTTGCCATTTTTAACGTGAGAAACTAAATTTTTGTGTTCTGCAGCCTGTGGGTGACAAGTTATACGACAAATCACTAAAGAAAGTTCTTTCCATTTTTTGTTTTGTAAAGAAAGTTCTTGCCATTTTATTTTTTGTAAAAAAAGAGATAAAGATCCCCTTCAGTACCTAAAACCACAATATTCGAGTTCTGCAGCCCGCAAGTGGCAAGTTATACGAAGAAAACACATTTCCCAATTTACCGTACAAACCCCCCCCCCCCCCCCTTTACTATACTACAACCAGTCAAATACAAAAAATAATCCGACTGGCGGTGTTCTTTTATAATGAGATTAAAGCCGAGTTAAAAGCCATGATTTCATCGCCTCAGGGAATTCATTCCGAATGCCCTGAGGCCGGCCCATTTGCATAAGAAATCTGGCGCCAATTCGGCGGCCGTTCCACAAATAATACGAAAGGTGCACACGATTGTAACGTCAAACATGGACGTATTTTCGTAATAAAAAGAGTATGACATTAAAAATTTTGCAAAAAGTGAAAAAATGGAACTTAGGAAAGTTTTGTCGTTTTTGACCGTGCAGTACTAAAAAATCAAAGTTTATACAATATAATTTAAAAAGGGTTTTTTATTAAAAAACCGCAATAACAACAAAAAAATTTATATTTTTTATATAAATTTAAAAAAATAATAATTCGTACTATATAACACGACACCAAAAATAGCTAATTTTTACTTTAAAATAAAAAAATAACCAAAAAAATCAAAAAGTGTCCCTTTTTTCCCATCAAGCAATTTATAATCAATCCAATCAGTAAAAAAAATTAATTATCAGTCCAGCCTGTCGACTGGACTCCCAAAAATTGATGGGCGATCGATCGATTCATCCGTTTGATTCTCTTTTCCGCCCTTCCTTTCGCTGCTCACTTGTCTTTCGATTGGGTTTCACCGGTGCGCGAGAGAAAAGAGACCGAATTGGTGTGGTCAGTGTTTTGCCGGACCGGTCCGGATGAGAATTTTTTCGGTCCGGTCCGGACCAAAAAGTTCAGGTCCGGTCCGGTCCGGAAAATTTTTTTTTTATTTTTAAAAAGAGCCAGGAGCGCTAAAACTGCTTTCTTTACGTTTAAAAACTCTTAAAAATATGTTTTATTTGCAATTTTTAAAACAGTTTTATTAAAATAAAAAAATTTTTTTTTTCCGGTCCGGTCCGGAACTTTTTTTTTCGGTCCAGTCCGGTCCGGCTCTATTTTCTTTTGGTCCGGTCCGGACGGGTCCGGCAAAACACTGGGTGTGGTAGAGAGAGAGAGAAAGAATATTGGAGCCGGAAAGAAAGAAGAGCGTATTTTACTGTAAGTTTAAAAAATTATGCAATAAATTTTTATTTTGGTCAATTATGAAATGGCAGGAAAAACTTTTTTTTAGTTTTTTGTAAAATTTTGGAAATTCATGTATAAATTCTTGCGACCCAGTCTAGCCCAGTTCAGCCCAGTGCAGCCTAGTTGAGCCCAAATTAGCTGTGCCCAGCTCAACTCAGCAAAGTCCTTTCCAGCCTTCTTCTTCTACCCCCTTCCGCTCCCCCCCTCCCTCCTCCCCTCTCCAGGCTAAAGATAACCTGCTCAACCCCAGGCAGGGTAACTAGTTCTAAAACTCAACCTGTCCAAACCAATTTTTCAAAAAAAAACTTTTAGGATTTTATGTCAAAAGAACGGCCAAAAGTTTTAAAAATAGAATGTGCTCTTTAGCACTTCTTTTCGAACGAATCTGCCCCAAGGCATTAGGTAAACGTTTCGGAAACGAACAAAACAACTCGAAACTTTTCGAAAAAACCCTGCCAATTATGTTTTTACACCTTTTTTTTAAACTTTACCTTACCCTATGGGCAGGGGCCGGGCGCGAGGGGGGGAGGGGGCGGGGGGGGGGAGTACCCCCCCAGAAAAAAAATTTTTCGAAAAAATTTGAACGTGGTCCCCCTATAGATCTTTGGAAAAAAATTTTCGCAAAAAATCGGCACAGGTAGCCTGTGCCGATTTTTTGGGCCCCTGCCCCCAGACCAAAAGTCCCTGCCCGGCCCTGCCTATGGGTCACAAGATACATAGAACTTCATTTTTTTGATCGGTCAAAAAGCTTACCGAATTTTTTAAAACTTTTGTATTTCTGAAGCCTTAGTACTCATAAAAACTTTAAAAATACTGTTATACGAATTTTTTTGTTTATCCTCCTAACAAAAAATGGTTATTTGATAATATAATAATTTATGGTCGTACGTGACAAAAACACACATACAGATATGTGTATAAACAAAACTGTTTTCATGTAAGCCCCACTATCAAAAACAATATCTTCCGTCGTTTCGGATGGCAAATGCGAGCAAATTTTTAAATTGGAAATTGAAAAAACTTTAAAAGGGCAAAAATATTGTAAAAATTGTCGTTTTTAACCGTTTTTCATTAGTTTTTCTCATTTTTTGTTTAAAAACAACAAAAAATCAAAAATGTATGACATTTTATAGTAAAACAATAATGTAAAATAATATAAAAGATACTTGTCATTACTTAAAACACCTTATTTTTTAATTTTTAACCTCTTAAAAATCGTTCAAAAGCCCAAAAAAGCTATTGATCTCGGGCGGGCTCGAACCGCCGGCCTTCTGTGTGTTAGACAGATGTGATAACCACTACACCACGAAATCACGGTTACAAAAAGGCTTTCAAAAGTAAACAAATAAAGG